AAAAATGCGGCTTTTTGGGTCTCACCTCAAAGCTGCCTAAAATAAAAATGTAAACAAAATCAGAGCCCTGAATTGTTAGTCTTAACAAAATGTAAGAATCATAACCCCTGGAGGACTAATCCCTTAGATTTAAAGGATGCTTAATCCTTTATGCAGGAAATACTGCCTAACTGTGTCCTATCTCTGTTTCATGGCAGTGTGTATTGTATTTAATTTTGTTGTCCCATAGGGTCCACTACATTCGCTGGCGAGACAGCATGGGTAGATACTGTGCCCATTTTACTGAGTGGAGCTCAAGATTCAAGCGTCTCCCTCTTACAGTGTAGCAGGGGATGGGAGCAGATCGGGCATATGTGCTTCCCTGAAGGAGACTGAAGTCTACTTACGGAAACAGGAATGTGGGTAGAGAAAGATGAAGTGCAGATCTTGCAGAGTGAAAATGCAGAGGAAGAGGGAAGTAATCTGTGAGCAGAGGAGGCTTTTTGGGGGAGATGGCTGGGGCCATCTTGGAGCTGAAAAAGTTGTCCGATTTCTTTGGAGGATCTGAAAGGAGGGCAGATGATTCTCATGCTGCTCTCCAGGTGGTCCTCTTTGTTGAGTTTTCATTGTTCTATAACCCAGACTTTGTAACTTCCTTTGTGTTAGCATTTACTTTTATTTGTAATAAGTTGTTTTTTCCCCCTTTGGAGATCTTGCTGGCTGTCTACTTAAAGTGTGATTTGTCCTTGAATTTTGCAAAGAAGTGATTAATTTGACTTAACTAGAATGAAAATTGTAACAAGCCCCCCCACGCACTGGAAAGATAAACCAAGAGTCACGTGAGTTATCGTATAGTTCATTTCAGAGAGGTGGGTCTTCTTTGAACCAAAACTCTCTATTTAGCTAAAAATAAACATCTGTTCTGTTATGACTTTGTTATTACATGAAGGATTGCGGAGAAAGTTTCAAGGACAGTGGCAGTATTTCTGGAACAGGAGAGACAAGGAATAAAGCTGGCAGATGGATAGAGGGCCCAGCTCCATTAGATTAGAATGTAGCGGCTTTTCTTTTCCTACCACATCTGTCTTAGATTATCGTGTAACATCTGCTTCCGTAAAGCACCCGGTTCCTCAAAACTTGTATGTAGATATGGAGGAAATTCATAATTGATAAGTCATAGGCTTTATTGAAATACGTGAGGGATACCTGTATCTTTATGCTTACACACATCTCCATATACACCTTATAGAGGCATAATCTTCTGACATGCATAAGATCGGCCAAAAATATTTGCCTTTCAGAAGATAACTGCAGCTGGAACAACATATACAAGGGGACTTCCTTAGATTCTTAAAAGTTTTTGCCGAAAGTACGTGTCATTTAAAATAATAGGGGCTCAGTGATGCAGCACTTGCCTGGCATACATGAAGCCCTGGGTTCCATCCCTCGTACTACAAAAAACAAAATAATTAAAGAATAAGAATTAAGTATTTTATTTTAATAATTTATAACACTTATATAAGTTAAGGAAGCCCATTAATATTAAAACCTCTGTCCTCAACTAAAAAAATATTTCCAGACACGTTAAAGGAAAAATTTTATTGCTTTTTAACGTAAACTGTTGGTTTTCGGTGAATAACGTATGAAAATATAACACGAAAATGAATTTTTACCATTATTTTGAAGAAGTCCATGTACCACTAGTGGAGTGCTTCAAAATTTGAATTACAGTAGCCCAGCTGAGGAGGTGCTCCTCCGTGTTTATGCTTTCCTGAAGTGTCGTGGAAACATTTGATAATGATTCAACCATATCGTGTTCTCCTCTGCATTTGCCGTGTTAGGCTTCTGTGCAGATGGGTCCTAATCATATGCTGTTTTCAGATCAACTCCTATTTTTCTGAATCAGAAAAGCCAGTGAGAGATTATTTTCTATTAACTAATCAAATGAATCTTTGTCCTTTTTAAAAAAAATTTTTTTGTACCATGGATTGAATTCGGAACCTTGTACTTGCAAAGCTGGCGGCGGAACTACTGAATTAAATCCCTGGCCCTCTTTGTCCTTTTTGTGACATATTTCCAGAGTTGACATTTAAAAGATAACTTTAGTAATTTGTAAAACGTCTCTTATAGGCCTTGCCACCAACGTGTCTCCCCATATAAGAAGGACTGCTGATTTCCATCATTTTTTAATCAGATGCCATAATTTTTTTTCAATTTCTTCTTTGTTTTGTACTTCTCTTGTTTTCCTGTATTTATATGTCAGTGTTCATGATGAGTCTTAAACTTCTGAGAAAGAAAGTCCAGTCTAGGGCTTAAAGAAATCAAAACAGTTTAAAATTACGAACTTGAGAAAGAAATAATGTCTCTAAATCTCCCACTGCACGGTGCAATAAATTATAAAACTGTGAAAAGTTGATCTATGATCATCTCTAAAAATATCTAAAAGAAAATACAAAAACTTATTCTGGTTGTGTGGAAAGGCTGAATTTATTTAGATTCAAGAATCAAGTATGACTCAGTAATAAGATGAACGTCTTTTAATGTATCAGGAAATAATGAAAGAAAATGTATACTAACATATATAAAAAAGAAGGTAATTATCCAAGCAATTTAAAATAATATAACCCCTAGAAAGAGAAATGATAAATAGTGAAAATGAAAATCTAGATAGCACCATTGACTGGGAACATATTTCAAATACCCCAATCACTGTGGACCTTTCTTCTCTGGCCAATACAAAGATTAGAGGTTGAATTCTGGTTTAATCAGATGCGTTCAGGAAATGAAGGTCATATGGGTTATAATTTTCTCTCATGTATTTAAACATCTAATCTTATGGTCAGTTCAACTGAATAGCCCAACAAAGAATATTGAAACTTCTATAAATTTACTCCTAGCCCTTATAAAAGAATAGTATAGAGGAGTAAAATGGAGCAAAATAAATCAGCCTACGGAAAGCCTTCTTGGATTTGTATTGTGTAGCCCATAGATTCAGGGTCTCACTTGTAAGCAGAGAAAGTACACAGGCGTTGGGCCCACCTAAAATTTGCCTCCCTATCTGGCAACTTCCTAGGGGCACAGCTGTGGTTCTCAGAGATTGTAGCCTTCCATGTGGAATAGGGATAACAATATTCTCTTGTAGGGTTGATGTGAGGGTTTAATGTGATCGTGGTGTATAAGTTGAGTAGAACAACAGTTGACCTAATTATAATGGCAGGGGACATTTATCAAGTGCTTACCAAGAACCAAGCATTTTTTCTAAACAGTTTATTCTTAGCAGCTCATTTAATCCTCATTAACAACCATATGAGATAATCATTACCATTTGACAAATGTGGAAACTGAGATACAGGTAGTTTCTGTAACTTGCTTAAGATTATAGGTGAAGGAGCCAGTAGCTCATGCTGACAGCCAGTTCTCCTCAGGAAGTCAGTCAGTGGTCTGTGTCTTTATGTCCAAGACTTGTTCCTGCCCCTTCAGTACCTTTTAGGTTCCATCCCTTGCCATACCAGATATGAAGTAACATTCTGTCTTCTTCATAAAATCCAACCATAGTCCTCAGTGCATGAATCTCAGTGACTTCTTTGGACATCTACAGGGGTGGCTTTTTGTACCATTTTACCTGCTATCCACTCTCTCCTCAAAGCTGAGATTCACCAACTCTTGTGAAATTATCTCAGGAGCAGCAGCAGTTTCAGGGTAGGCTGATTTTCTTGGAATTTTGGTATAGAAAGTGTCTTCGGTCCTGCTGAACCTTCATGTCATCTTCCCATCTTCCTGTTCCCTCCTCTCTACTTGTCAAGAACTGAATATTTTAAGTAAGGTTAGTCTTTAAATCAGACTAAAAAAAGCTCGTGTCTCCTTAAACTACTTCGTCCTTCCTTGTTCACTTTTTGATACTGTAGTGATTCAGTTTGATCAGAGGCCTTCAGCTACTGTAGAAATAGATCCATGGGAGAATGGGAGAAGGTCATTTAGAGCAGAACTTTTCAAACTTGAATATGCATGGGAATCACATAAGAGCCTTGAAGTGAAGATTTTGATGCAGCAAGAGTCTGCATCTAACGAGTTTCTGATGACATTGATAACGCTGGTGTGGGACCACACTTTGAATAGCAAGCATTTAAAGTCAGCATTGTAAGATGTTGCAGAAGGAATTGGCAAGTGACATGCACATAGAGATGAGCTGAATGGAGTAAAATGAAAAGTATATTTTTTCAGAAAAAGGTCGATCACCGGTACTGCCTTTTTGAATGCCATCGACCCTTTTCTGGCAAAATAAACTTTTTATTTTACTTTCATTCAGTTCGTGTCTGTGTGCATGTCGCTTGCCAGTTTCTTCCGCAACAACAATAGCATTTACCGTTTAACTTACTCTGGTTACTTTTCCAGACACATTTACTCTAAAGAAATGAACTCTTTTAGTAGAATCTAGTTCGTGCGACTGGCTGCTAGGAGATAGGTGACCATTCAAACCCAACACCTAGACAATGTACTAGTTAAGCTATTTTGAGCTGCTTTGGGAAAAAATAATATAAACCTGTCTGTCTCATAGTCAAGTTTTGATATAAACAATGTAAGAACAGATATTTTCCTCCATCAGTATTTTCTAGTGATTCTTAAATGATATATAGTTCTCTTTTCCTTTACCCCATGTGAAAACATTGCTTTACTTGCTGCTCAAGGTTAGATATCCCACAACTAGGGAAATAGATGTCTACACTTTCTCTGGTATAAGGGCCACATGTGTGTTTCAGTATCTGTGCTTTGTTCCTCTGGTAGCACTTACATAAAAAGAAAACAAAGTCAACTTCTATTTCCCGGTCTTTTCATTTGGAGTCTACTCCCTAGGAATGCTTACAAATAATTCTGTTAGATGGCTGGATAATGCTGATCTGGGTTGTGAGATACCGTGCCGAGCCCCAAAAGTGGCGATGCAGTGTGGCCATGAGCCTTCTATGAAATGATGTGACTGATTCTCCTTGTGACGGCAAAGGCTTATGTCCTGTTTCTGTTCTCAGGGAGGTGAGCACTGCTACTACCAGGGCCAGATCCGAGGAAACCCTGCCTCATTTGTTGCACTGTCAACATGCCATGGACTTCAGTAAGTGTTCAGAAAATTATTTGCACTATCCATTCTTTCAGTAATGTATTTCATTTGTTTTTAAAACACTGTAATAGAAGTTTCTGTTTTATTTCAAGCAATAATTTAAAATCACTGGTGGTTCAGTTTTTTTTCGTGTTTTTGTTTTTTTTGAGACAGGGTCTCACTGTGTACTTGAGACTCACCTGGAACTCACTATGCAGCCCAGGCTGGCCTCGAACTCACAGTGATCCTCCTGCCTCAGCCTCCTGAGTGCTGGGATTACAGGCGTGTGCCACCATACCCGGCTTTTTCATGTTTTTGAAACAATGGAGATTTTATATTCGAGCTGATGTTGGAATTACAACATGATGCTCTGTAGGGACACTTGAAGTGTTTTCCTGATTCAAATCAGATAGGAGTGGCTTGGGAAACTTCATTTCCTGTTGTGTGGATGTTTAGCCCTGTTCCAGTTCTGCCCCTGCTCCTGCTCCATAGTCGTTTTTATATTTTTACCGATTAATAGAACTTTCAGTAAATGGCAGCTTGGCATAAAGACAACAGGATGCAGGCGATGTTGGGGGCTGTTGTGTTCCAGCCATTTTTGAGCCAGAATCCCACCTACCTGTTAGCAATTTGTACGGGGACCCTTATGTCCTCACAGCTACTGAAGAGTAGAGTTCCTCCATCCTTGCTTCCTTTCTTACGTCCTTTACTGCCACAGTGTTGGCTGGGCTGTAACACGGGACTGCACCCCTTCCTGCATCCTGTACACTAGGGTGACACAGGCGGCCTCCTCTTACTTGTTTTGTAACCTCTTCTACACTTGTGCCATTCCTCAGAATTCTGGTTACACTGAATTGTCTCATTTCCTTCTTTTTGGGGGCACAGAACAACCTAGCAGTTTAGTTTCATTACGTTTTTGTTGGATAGCTTCAGAATACTTCCTTTCTGTTACCAAGTTAGAGACGGGATTTTTTATCCACAAGCAGTACTGTTTGTTGTGCACCAGCCACTAGCAAAATCAATGCAGTTAAGACCTTGGTCCTGAGAGTTCACAGTCTCGTGGTGAGGGCAAATCTGGCCCAGCTTCCTGCAGGGGTACGTGATAAGTGCATTTGTTTCTTTATGAGGGAAAAAAACACTGGAAAAAGTGCGAGCTGAGAGTTCTTCTACTGAAGAGGTAGAGCTCAGAGTGGGGCCTATGGCAGGCTTTGATGGAATCATCCAAGGAGGGGTATTAGATTGGCAGGTGGTAAACCTAGAAGAGAAATCTACTGAGAAAGGCTGGAGATCAGGGTATGGTGGCACATGCTTATAATTCCAACTACTGTGGAGGCTGAGGCAAGAGGACTGCAAGTTTGAGGCCAGCCTGGGTAAGGGCTTGGTGGTAGAAAGTTTGTCTACTGTGCTCAATCCCAAGTATCACAAACACACAGGAGAAAAAAGAAAAAGAAAAAAAGACTGGAGAAGCTAGCTTGTCTGCAACCTTGAAGTCTTGGTCAGGCTCTGATAGTATGTGTGTTAGAGAGACAGAAAGTAGAGAGTGTGAGGCTCAGTAACCAGAGGAGGGAGCAGGGGGCATAGAAAAATCTCCATGTTTTTGTTGCTTGTTGAAAATAAATTTGTAAGTACATTCTTGAGTAAAGAGAAATTTATATAAACATGGAATCCATGCTTAATAGCTGAGGGCTTTGGTTCTCTTATTCTATAAAGAAATGCTGAAATTCTTTTCAACAGTAAAATTGTCATATCTGATTTCAACAAGAACAAAGCTAATGTTAAGAGTAAGATAGTTGAGCTTGTCAGTATTTGTGACAGCAAATGTATATAGGAAGAAAGAGTGATATTAAAAAAAGACCTTTTTTTCTCCTTTCTCGTCTTAAAATCTCCATCTCATGTCACAACATGGGGCTCAGTTCTTGTTCCAGTTTGCTTCCCAGTTTTCCAAATAGACACAAAATTCTGATAATCAGAGAGAAGGCTTTAGTGTCTTTTACAGATTCTATCAGATACGAGAATGTAAAAACCATAGCTTGCTCCTAATCTTACCATAGTCATTTAAAAGAAGGACACAACAATAACTTTCAGGACATTTTACAGTGATGGATCAGGAGTAGAGCACCACATGTGGCCTCCGTTGCTGTAACTGAGTATATTTGACTTCTGCCTTCAGAAACGTTTGCATTTAAAACTAAACAAAAATACACACAATATGGCCAGATTTGTGTGCAACCATCTTTGAGCTTTCTTAAATTACTGTGAGCATATTAGATAAATATACTATTGTAACATTATTATTACTTCTCATCTTGACTTTACCTTCTGAATAAAAAGTGCTCTCAGAAATATTTTTGGGCAAAAAGATAAAGTAAAAAAATAATTTTTGGCTGGATATTACAAAATACTACGTAATATAGGTTATCTCGGTTGTGGTATTTTAGACATGAAATCTATTATTTCACACATGACTCATCTTTTTTACAAAATTTATTTATTTTGATCCCAGTTTGTTTGGTGTTACAACAAAGTCTTGTAGCTATGGGAACCTCAAAGAATGGGATCAAATATGAGCTTGTTGCCCTCTTGTGGAAATTTCTCAGAATGGCTGCTATTTCAAAATGTTTTGATTCAGTTTCATAAAATTTTAGATAATTGGTCTATAATGACTTGGTCCTAGCTACAGGTTTTTGTCAAGTGCATATACAGTGTTAGGGACTCAATATACTTACTAGACTTTGTATCATTATAATAAAAAAGTAGCATTGAAAAGATGCATGTTTTGATTATTAAGAAATTGATAATGGCATCTTGTTATCGAGAACCTGTATCTTCAGGGTTTAGACAGCATCAGAATCTACTGTCCTTATACTGTTTACTGTATGATGTTTAAACCCAATAATAAGATCTGATTGTCCTACTGGTTATTAACCTACTGCAAGGATAAATAATACTCAGTGTTATTTAAACAAAATAATCTTGCTTCTTAATCATTGTTGCCATGTGAACTTTGGCAGTAGGTGATGATTTATGTGATTTTTCTGAATAGAGTTGGCCAGTTCTCAGCAGCGAGAGAAAAAAATGTTCACTGCCATATTCAGCCTGCTGTTTTGAAAAGGACCCCTTCTCTGATTCCTTAGGCACGTGTCATGGCTAATATCTTATTGACTACATCTGTTTATCTTTAAATTCCAAATACAATGCCATCCAAATTCGGAAAGTACACTTGTAGTTGAAAAATTTGCAGATGGGAGAATAGCCATTCTGAGGGTGTATAAAGGTTTAGGACATGTGGGAGATATTAAAGCAGGGATGAAATAATTTGGATAGAGGCAGAATTGGAGCACATTGTAATTAGAGTGCAGGAAAACTAACCAATGAAAGACAAATACTATTCTATGTCTAACAGTTTGGTTGTCACGCAGTCCTTTCTACATTAAACTGATTACTGCAGAACACAAAGTTGCTCCTCTTAGATGCCTGAATGGTAAGTTTCTTCAGAGCCACTTCTAGCCTGAGAGATCCAAAACCGGTCTCCCGATTTGTGCCCTTTTCCCTTGGGTTTGTCCTGTTGTGCTGTTCCTGCAGCCTTTTTCGTATAGTCAGATGTTTGTTTGTTTGCTTGTTTGTTGAGACAAGGTCTTGCTGTGTGGTTCGGGCTGGTCTTGAACTCAATATGCCTTACCTCCTGAATGCTGGGGTCACAGGAGTGTGCCCCTGTGCCTGGCTCATTTTGTGAGATGTAACTCCAGCTTTCCAGTTGTTCAGGTCAAAGCCTTGGAGTCCTCATTGACTCTTTCTTGCACACTCCTTATCAAATCAGTCCATAATTCTGTTTGGTTTTACTTTCAAACTGTGTCCAGGCTGGGGCTGTTATTCAGTTGGAAGAGCAGGAGCTCAGCATGTACTAGGTCTTGGGTTCAATCCACAGCACCCTGGGGGGTGGGAAATACTCTGCATCTATAATTAAAGGAGGAAAGGATTACTTAGCTCACGGTTTGTAGAGGTTTCAGTCCTTAGCTGGCTGTCTCTGAGGCACAGGGGCATGGCAGAGAGACAGTACATGGCAACGCAGAGAAGACAGAAGGCAGCAAGCAGCAAACAAATGCAGCAGCAGAAGTAGCAGCAGGGCAACAACAGAAGCAGCCTTTGTATTTCATCTAAGGTGTAAGCACATTGATTAGTGCTACCCATGCCCAGGGTAGGGCACCCTTTTAATCCCACCACCACACCCCCTAGGTCCAGCTGCTTCGGAAAAGCCCCACCTATGACTGCACGAAGCATCTATCTACAGGCCGTAGCACACGGAAGGGACAATGGCCGGACGCCCAGAATTTGGCCCATTCTCACCTCTTCTTCCGTCTCCACCCTGATCTAAGCCACCATCTTCTTTCATGTGGATATTGCAGTAATCTCTGCTTGTGTCCCTGCCGTCCTACAGGTGCTGTAGCCAGCAGCTGGGATTATCATTTCAAAGCAGGAGACTGTGTTTCCCCTGACTTGAAATCCAGAGTGGCCGCTCCTCGTCTGTACCAGAGGGCGTGCTCATCCGGCTCCACTGCCCTGACCTCAGTGTCCAGCACACAGCCCCTCTTCCACACCACTCCAGCTTCACAACCTTCTTGCTGTACCTGGAACAACTCAAGCTTCCCTTCCTTTGGGCTTATATTTGCAGTGCTCTTTTAAAAAATTTGTTTTTCTTTTTATTGAGTTTATTGGTATAATCTAGGTATACAATATAGTTACATTCATCATTGAGATCCTGTACCTTTACATAACAGTTCTTGATTCTCATTTTTTCCCCTTGTTTGCAGTGCTCTTTGTGCAGACTCTTTACTTCTTTCAGGTCATTGCTTCAGTGCTGTCTTCTCTGGGAAGCCTTGCCCCGAGTCCCTCTTTGAATCAGGAGTCCTCTCCAGGTCCTCCGAATCTAGTCTTCTGGCAGTATCTGTTGCCTTTAACCTGCTTTTATTTTCCTCTCTCAAGTTTGTCATCGTCTAATACATATTTCCTTATTGTGGATTTATTTTCTTTTCTCCACTGAGTGCACTTCAGCACCACGAGAACTAACTCGGTCCGTCTTGTTCACGGCTGGGTCCCCAGCTCCTGGAGCATTGTTGGTGCTCATCAACCCATGATGAATGAGTGAATGAGTGTAGGTAGCAGACTGCACTGGGGCAGATCGTGGATCTGTCCTTCAGAGCTGTTTGTGCCTCTGCTTTTATTGGTGATGTAATCTGGCCGAGTTACTTCAGTTTCCTCACCTGGGAATGAAGATTCCTTGCACTTCTCTCATATATATGAAAACAAATAAATGAGCGCCAGATACTCAGCTCATGGCAAATTGTTGGCATTTGTGAGCTCTTACTATGAGAGCATCTTCCAGGTTTAGGGTGGGGAGGCCGGCCTTAGGGTAGTGCCCGACATCCTGCAGTAGAAGCACGTGGTTTGTTTAAAGTGTTTGAAATATGAGTAAGGGCCTGAGACCCGGCGTGTCCTTTTGCATATTAAAGGCTTGGAATTACCTGCTCTGGACAGTAAGGGGAGAATGGCAAGGGTTGGGGTCCCTGAGAGAGGACCTGAGGTGGGGAATTCAGCAGCATGTGTGTACGCACACGTGTGTGTGCGCGTGCTCTTTGTATGGTACTGATGGGTGGGACTGGTGCCGTGGCTGCTGTGCTATACAGTGACCTTGTTCTGCGGCGAAGGCTGATGGCTGTGCCTGTGTTCTTGTTCTTGGCAGTGGGATGTTCTGCGATGGAAACCATACGTATCTCATTGAGCCCACAGGAAATGAGACCTCCCCAGTAAGTGCTCTGCTCGCAGTGGGAAATGTCAGTGTTGATGCCTAGAGCTTTTTCCTCCTCTATTTTATTTTTTCGGTACTGGGGATTGAACTCAGGGCCTTGCGCTTGTGAGGCAGGTGGCAGAACTGCTGAGCTAAATCCTTGGTCCCCCTCAATTCTTTTTTGTATTTTTTAGGGATAGGGTAGTAAATATATATTAAATATTGAATAAATCAAAACTACAATTTTTTCTTTTGTCTCTTCCCCTTTTATATCGGGAGTATTTTCTCTCTATGGTGTTCAGAAGCCACCATTTATTTTGTCTCCAACATTATGTGCTCTGATCTTAGCCAACTTGGGTTACCATGCATGACACAATACCAAGACTGGGCCACTTAAACAGTGGGAGACATTTTTTCCCCTTCATTCTGAAGGCTGTGAAGTCCAGATGACAGGCCAGCAGGACTGGTCTGCTGAGGGCTCACTTCTGGTGTGGCCGAGGGGCACTGCCTTCTCCGTGTGTCCTTAGATGGCAAAGAGGCCCCCTGGTTGTCTGTTTCTGTCCTTTTAAGGTTCCACCTCTCCTGGGCAGGCCCCACGCCATCCTTGTGACTGCATGGAGGTGTGGTCATCTCATACAGGTCCCATCTCCAGCTCCCATAATACGTGCAGTTAAGACCTGAGCATAGAAGTTTTGGCTGACACACAGAATATTCAGTCCACAACTGAAAAAACCCACAGCCATTCCTCCTCCCCTTTCTAGATTCCAGATTTCTCTCCTTTGCCTATTGCTTTTAAGGCTCTATGCCAATGAAATTTAGAGAAACCTGGGACTTCTTAAATCCCTCCCTAACTCTAATTGAAAATATTTATTTGCTACAAATCAGGAAAAGATTGAATTAATATTATAGACTATAAAGAAATATATTACACTTCCATTCTAGCTGGTCCTCCTTATTCATGCAGTATTGGTCAAACACTTAGGAAAATAATCTCAAGGAATGTGCATTGTCACTCATGTAGCAGTCGTGCTTAGGAAGCTATCTGAATTACGTGTTATTTTCTGAGTTCCTGCTACTGGTTATCCCATCACTGTGCTTAACAGTGTGATTTTTTTATAGGTAATGAAATGAAACTTGACTTTTTTTAGTAATTAGATGAAGCCAGATGAAATTATTTGAATGCTCATTAATTTTTCGTAGAAGAAAAATGTGACTTTTATCTCTTTGTTTCTAATAAAACTTTGTGTGACTTGCATCTGGGCATCTGCCTGCCCCTCTCCCCCTCTTCCCATTGCCAGGAAATCTGCTTCCTCTGAAGCCTTTGCTTATTAAAGTTATTTAGCTTTTAAAAGGGAGCAGGGATCCATGAATGGAACCAGTCATACAAAACATTAACCCACTTTGCCAGATGCCTTTCTTTCCCTGGGGGAATACGCCCGTTCATTTATTTCCCATTACTGCAGGCTTTGCCTTCTCTAGGAGGCCTTCTGCTTCTGATTGGGTGTTGCTCTGGTGCTGGGAGAAAGAAGACCCTGGGAGAGGGGGCTCCTGAAACTGAGGAGGATGTGTAGTGAGGTACTGGCTGCTCTAAGGGTCCCAGAGATATCTGGCTATGCGTGCTTAATCTCTGTTGCCTCTGTCATTTCAGGAGGATTTTCATTTTCATTCAATTTACAAATCCAGAGTGTTTGAATTTCCCTTGGATGATCTTCCATCTGGTATGGTGCTTGTATAGTGGCTTTTATTTTTTAAGGACAACTTCAAGAGTTCGTTTAATGCTTTAGAACTAATGTATCTGTGAAATACAATTAACCCATGATTGTTCATGACATTTTTAGAGGGAAAGCTGGTTGGCATCAAGAAGAAGAATAACATGCAAGCTAGCCTCATTAATAGTTAAAGAGTTTGGATAGATATGGCTTGCTTTCATGGAAGGTGACCTTTCAAAAAGTCTAGACTCAAAAAATAAGAAGTTAGAGGAAAAATCATGTTACAGCAAGAATTGTTCTGCATAGATAAATATGTAAAAATTTACTCTTGTAAAATAGTGGTTGTTTAAACATACAGATGGACTCTTAGCTCATTTTCCTACATATTTTTCTCCTCTTTTTTCACTTCAGCATTTTAAGAAAATCAATTGTAGATTAACCTTGTGTATGATGTGCCATTTGTGAAATTAGTTTTTACTTCTCAAGTGTGTTTGTAGGTTGATTTATGTGTCGATATTGAGTTGAGAGGTGCATCCAGATCTTCCCATAAGAGAACAGCACACTCGACTGGGCCTCATTAGTGGAGTGGTATTTCTGCAGGGTTACTTTGCTCTGGCTACACTGGACTCCTTTGTTTCCTTCCTCTGAAGGAGGGCACACTCAAGATTTGGTGTAGAGTTGCTTCTACCTCTAAAAAGTGAACCTGGTCCTTCTAATTTTTAACCTTAATCTGATCTTTGCAACAGCTGTGTAAGATTGATGCTATTCCTGTTCTGGAGTCAAAGGGACAGAGGCTCAGCTAGTTTGCCTTTTTCATGGTCCCACAGCTATTGAGTTAACAAAACGAGATGCTGGCTTATGACACCATGAAAATATTCTGTGAAAGATGAGTGCAAGAGGAAATGGGAAATTTGCCTGCCTAAGAGAAAATCCTAAACCTCTGCTTAGAAAATCACTTTGACGTTTACATTTTTCCTTCACCAGAAAATGAGAGGAGTGTTTTTCATTGTCCCTCTACTCTGGAATAAGTTTGTGACTCCTTGGCCTCCTGCAATTGCCCTGAAGAGAAAGGAGTACTCCCTCCCTTTTTGTACTTTGGCCAGAGGGGTAGTGTTTTGCCAAAGGGATAGAAGTTCCTATTTCATAGAATTCACTATATTGAAAAATACACAAATAAACACAGAGATACTCTTACTTTAAATAGACTCTTTAAACTTCCCTTCAGTGATCTATGAAACTTTTAATAAACCCTATTATGGGAAAAAGATAAATCATGACTACCTGCATGAAAATGAAGCTATAAGTTAATAGGTATTAGTAGGAGCTGTCAACATTAGTTAATATTTAAAGTAATAAATAAAACTTCACTCTAAAGATAGGATTATAAGCTTGCTATAGTATAACCTTATATCTTTGTCTGTCTCACTGTGTATCGTAGTATTAGGGATTGAACCTAGGTCTTTCATACTGAGCTATATCCCTAGCCACTTTGGTTTTGTATTTGAGACAGGGACTCACTAAGTTGCTAAGCTACTCAACTTGAATTTGTGATTCTCCTGCCTCCTGTGCTTCTGGAGTGCTGGGATTACAGGCATGTATCACCATGCCTGCCTTCTTATCATTGTTTTGTTTTTTAATTTTGCTTAGGATTCTTCTTCAGAATAAAATCTGGAAATGATCTGGCAGTTTCGCTGTTACTGCATTCGCTTTTAGATTTATTGTTTGAGAACTTAATGCTTGTCTGAGTTTCTACTTATTAGATGAGTTAGCACTGTTAATGTTAAGAGTAATTTGTTTCTAAAGATTGCTTATGATTTGCTATGATACAGTAGAACAAAACAAGGAAGAAAAAAGTGTCCAAATGTGGAGGTACTGCCCAGAGATCTGTATGAGATGGGTATGTGGAGATAAGGGGCTTTTGGGCCCAAAGCCTCTTGGAATGCATGGTTAGATTACAAGGTACCTGCAGGGCTACTTGTCCAAGTAGGACCAGAACTCTCTGCCTTAAGGAATGAATGCTCTAGCTCTCTTCTCCCCATACTCCGATTTATCATTAGATTGGCCCTACGGTCAATCATGTAACAGACTATTCTGTCCTTCTCCTGTCCCCTATGTGAATTCCTGTCCTTGTTTTGTCCTTTATGTTGCTTCTTAATTCTATCAGTAAAAAGCCACAGAAGCTTCAGTTTAGGGCTGTCTTATGAGACTGTTTTGCTGAGGGGCCTTGGCTAAGGGCAGTGCCTCCAGGCCTTCTTAGAGTTTGAATTGGACATTGATTGTACCATGCCGTGGTTGTGAACTGGGACATCAAAGGTATAGGGTTATTTTGTGACATGAGCTAAAGAATAAGCCTGTTTATTTTAGGCTGAATCATTTTGAACTGTGTTATTAATTATCAGCACTTTTGTATTGCTATGTGTTACATTTTTCCAACAGATAGAATTATAATTCAGTCTTCTCCCATGTTATTTGACTATAGGACCTTTTATTTTACATGGTAAATCTCTCAGGACTAGTATTGCTAAGAACACATTTTGAGGGAACAAAAAAAACCCTTGTTTTATTTCCAGTGGAGCCTTAGCCATCTTTATAGAATGCTATGCAGTGAATTTGTTTTCATCATGTGTATACTCAGTGAGCTTTGACACACAGTCTGCTGAGAGGCAGAATGTTTCTGTTACCACAGGAACTTTTTCTTTACCTTTGTAGGGAGTACCTCTTATGTCTACAGTCACTTTCCTAACTACTTTGGCCTAGAATACTCTGGCCTGTTGTAGGACTTCTGACAAATGGAATCATGCTTTTTATGTAGCTGTTTTTTGCTCATCATATGCCTGTGAATTTTTTGTTGTCAGGTATAGCGGTAGTTCATTTTTTTAAATTGTTGAGTATATTCTATTATATGAATGCATCGTAATTTTTTACTCATGTTGATACATGTTTGGATTATTCCCAGTTTTTGGCTATTGCACATACACAGCTGTGAACTTTCTTGTACAAGTCGTACAAGAAATTGTATTTCTCCTGCTAAATACCTCAGAATGGCATTTCTGGGCCTCTATGTAGGTATCTGTGTAATTCTATGACAGTATTCTCAAAATTCAGCACATATCAGAGTCACTTGGTGGGATAGTAGCTGCAGTATGATGGCTCTGTCTCAAGAGTTCTCAATTTAGTAGATTTTGGTTACTAAATTTTGAGAATATGCATTTCAAGCAAGTCCTTGGTGACCCCAGTTTTGTTGATTCAGGGATCCTACCTTGAGAACCATTGTTTTATGAGACCCAGCTGAATCTTTTTCAAAGTGGTTATGCTATTTTTGCACTCATACCAATATTAGGTGAGAGTTCTCATTGCTTCTTGTCTTGACCAACATCTGATGTATCATTTTTTGTTAGCCTTTAAGTGTTTTATGGCAAGTGGTGTAGAGTATATTCTTTCTAGCCATTGACTGGAATTTTTGTCTTTTGTTGCATTACAGAGGTACTTACATATTCTCTGCTCTTGATCTTGGCCAAGAGGCCAAGCCATAATTGCATATTTTGGATGCAAGGCCTTTGTCAGATATGTTTTATAAATAGTCTTTCCCAGGCTTTGGTTTGCTCATTCACCTTTTTAATGGTGTTTAGTTGTCATAAGCAAGAATTTTAATTTTAACATCCATTTAAAGACTTACATCAGTTTTTATGATGATTGCCTTCTTTGCTCTACAAAATATTCACCTACTCAAATCCTGACCTCAGTATCTTTATGAAACATATTCTCCATGATTTTCTTCTAAAACTCTGTAGTTTATTTTCATTTAAAAATTTTTAAAAATAAAAATATTTAAAAATCTATCATCCTGCCAAATTATTTTTTATGCATGGTGAAAGGCGGTGGTTGCATTTTATTTTATGTTTGCATGGCTATTCAGTTGTTTTAACACTATTTGTGGAAGGTTAGTATAATTATTGGTATGATTTGGTTTAATTCTTTGTCTCATCCATTAAATGCAAAAGAGAACTTCCTTTCTTCAGTAAATTCCTTATATGCCCAGGCTAACATCATCTTATGCAAAATGATGGGGTGGAGCATGCTTGAAAATGAAATAAGTAGTCGACATACTAATCTCCTTAGTCTAATATCATCCAGCTTCTCTGTCACAGATCTCTCTAACAGTAGTAATCTTTCCCTTTTGACAATATTGCCATTACTATTCTATCTCAAATATATTTTTAAAAATTTGTAAATTAGTTGAAAATTTTCATTATTGTCTAACAGATCTGTTAAGGTGATGAAAAAGAAACCTAGGTAAACTAATTCAAATGAGTCTTGGCTGTAACTTTGGATAAAAAGGTCCTTCGTAATTCCTTTGAAATTATATAGTTTGATAATAATAGTGATTTTTCCTGTGAATATAATAATTTGCTCGTAGGATAAAAATACATTTTATCACATTATAGTACAGGGTTGTGATTTCAAAGAACTTTTCAGTTTTATAAATAGTATCCAAGAATCATAATGACTCACTTTTACTGTAAATAGCACCACTCCCCTCAGAAGTTCCAAATTTGACTTCTCTGTGTTCTTCAGCTGTCATTGTTTTAGGAAACAATACCAGGGAATGATTGCATTTTTCATTTTATTTTTTAGGACACCTTCCCTTACAAATAATCTAGTCTTATATCCAGAGATATGGTGTATAATTTTGACCTACAAGTTAAATTGAGTTCAGATTTTCTTATATGTTTCTAGGAGCAAACAAAGCTTGAGACAAATTTTGTTATGGGTGAAGAAGACTGTCAATGAATAGGAAATAATTAAGTAAAAACTTTAGTGCCCTAAAATAATTTCTTAATATATTGTGAACTGATGAACGTGTTATTATTTTCTGCTTAATTCTTAGTGTTTTTTTTTTCTTCAACTAGAAGGTTGGAAATGGAAGTAAAGATAAAATTCCCTATTTAGAAGATACTTTTAATTAATTAATTAATTAAGAGAAGGTCTCACTGTGTAGCTGAGACTGACCTGGAACTCACTGTGTAGCCCTGGCTGGTCTCGAACTCACAGTGATCCTCCTGCCTCAGCCTCCCGAGTGCTGGGATTACAGGCGTGCACCACCACACCTGGCTAGAAGATTCTTGATAAAGAATGTGATGGTGCTTAGAGAATAAATATGAAAAAATTGATAGAAATTAGAACAGGGATTATGTTTGATATTTTTTGTAAATTGTATCCACCTATTATATATTTACAACACCTACTAAATTAATGCCCTATGTAATAATTTAATGTAACATTATATGTTATAAAATTCATGAAGAAAGGTACTTTTCCCTGTATTAAAGAAGTCTCACAAATGCACTGTTAATTTATTTTCTTTCAGAATTCCAACAGGTAAACATCACTCTACCAAAATTTATTTCAAAGCCAAGACTAAGAAGGAGTAAACGACAGGTATATATTCACAAATATATAAGGGGTGATTGAAATGTGGTGAATATTTAAATTTTCAAACATTCATTACCATAAAAGACACATTGCCGACAGTACCTTTTATATGCTGTTCTCACCCTGAGCACTCTGATCCCATCATCCTGGGCACTTTCTGAAGCAGTTCTGCAAATCCTCTTTCATGTATTTACAAGGTGTGATACAAAAAGTAGGCGAAGGCTTCCCGGAGCACCACTCAGCGGAAAGGCAGGAAGATGAAAACATGGCAGCACTTCCCCGTCCACTTTCCTCACTGCTTGAATCCTGGCTCTTCCCCAGAGGGAAATGCCATGAAAGGTAAACGTTTTGAATCAGTTCGGGACATGAAGGCAGCCGTGACAGTGCAGCTGAAGAAAGACGCTCATGAAAGAGGACTTCCAGAGCTGCTTCGGAAAGAGGCCGGACTGATGGGCCAGGGTGTTTAAAGTGGGGGCAAGGGTTGTTTGAGGGAGATTGATTCCCATGTGCATTTTCCTGTAATAATTTTTTTATTTAACTACATGCCATATTTTTGGGGTAACATCTTGTATATTATGATATTTTAAAACACTTGGAATCGACGGATCATATAAATCTACCTTAGGTCTCTGCGAGAGGATAAGTACTAGTTTAGCCATTTGTGAGGGTGAGGTAGTGGTGTAGTTAACAGATGTATAGGAGGGTAAAAATGGGTCTTATTATTTCATAGACTCAAAATGAATTCAAGATACTGGTGATAATGCCAGGTGCCCCGCCCTATTGTAAGAATTTTAGTGGCATTGACACATTTAATCCTCATAACCTTATGAGGAAGGTATTTTTCTTGTTCTTATTTTACTGATAATGACAGCGTAGCATCAGAGACTTAAGAAACATGCCCCCATTCCATAGGGTGACCAACTGAGGTAGGGCTGTACTTCTGGTCTCAAAAAAGATGCTTATGGCCACATGTATGGTCTATACAGCCTCTTAGAAGCCTGTGTGTCCTTGAATTACTTTTGTGAGTTTCATATGTGTTGAGATACAGGAACAAATACTGTATATATCTTGAGGCCTGATTAAATAGGAAAAAGTAATTGCTATGAAGAATCAGTATAAAACAGTATTTTCAAGGACTCCTGAGGTGAAAGAATAGCATAATATTTTTTATGCATGTGCCTTCAAGTTCTTCATAAATGCCTCGGCATCTAACATTTGGAAGTAGATAACTCCTTGGATTCTCTTGTGGACCCATGAAATTGAGGTGTTTGGAATCTGTGTGGCTGCTGTGGCAAATCTATGACATTAAGAAAATGTTGGGACTTGTTGGAAAGCCTGTGGCAAAGCAGGTCTTTTCATCCTAACGGTATGCACTGGAAACATTTCAGTGTTTTCTTTGGTGTCCATCCTTAGAAATTTAGTCTATTACTCTCTTTCAACTTGGTGTTATAAGAGCTTTTTTTTTTTCCTCATTGAGTTTATTGGTACATTTTAGGTAGACAGTACAGTTACATTCATTATTGGGAACTTGTACCTTTACATGACAGGTCTTGGTTCTCATTTTAGTAAAGTTTTAAAGTTTAGGCATGCATTTAGCAAGACAGAATCTGGCACCGTATTTTTAGTTCACTTTAGATGTAGCAATGAAAACAAGTGCCCATATATTGATTCGGGTTGGATTGTACATCCTCATCATAAGTGACCAAAAAGTGAACAATGTCTGTTGAACCATGGCATCAAGGAAAAGGTTAACTTTATGGATCTTACCGAGCACTGTGTTATAGTCTAGCAACTGCAGAGAACAGAGAGAAGGACTGCCCTGGTGGCTCTTGTCTGTAACATTCATTGATCACGATCTTGAAGGGAGAAAAACTGTACTGAGCAGCGCAATGTAGCTGTACCGGGTAACCCAAGATTGCCCGGGAGCTCTCTGAGCTATTCTCACCCCCCCACCCCTATCATCTGGAGGATCCTTGAACCACACCAGAGCGAGGGGCATGTCTAAGTCCCAGATTTGGTAACTGTAGAATAAATGTGCCAGTCACCCCACTCCCAGAAATAATGCTGAGATTAAATTAAGCCAGGAAGAATGTTAAATGAAAATTCTGGTTATAGAGGAGTAAAATAAATGGAAGTATGAAATAAATCATATTCATATTTAATTTTATTTGCATAAATATTTGTGAAAGAAACTAGTAACTCATTGTACCCACTGTGGAAGAAGGATTAGGAACTGGATAGATAATGAACAGGTAGGAGGAAAACTTTCATGCTAGGCTTTTTTATACTTTGTTAACTTTTTGAACCATGTAAATTTATTGTTACTATACAAAAACTTAAATAAATTGGTGAAAGTTAAAAATTGCTAAAAGAACAAAGAAAATTTTTGTTTTGTTCATTTCTTTTTTAAGTTTTACATAGCCAAGTTCAGAGGGCTTAGTTTTGTTTATGTTTTTTTTTGCCTTTTATACCACTTTGTAGCTTCTGCGATATCCTCGTAATGTGGAAGAGGAAACCAAATATATTGAACTGATGATTGTGAATGACCATCTCATGGTAGGATTTGCTTTTATTTTTAACTTGTCTGTGCCTAGGCTAAAACTACTGGGTCTAAAATATGTTTAGAAGAAATAAAAAGCTCCCCAAATTGTAACTGGGGGAAAATGTTTATGTAGCCAAATATTTGTTAACAAACCAACAAGTGGGAAACACTCTTAGTTGGAATAATTAGCAGTGATGTATGATGTTCTAAAAATATTTGTGGGACTAATAATGTAAACTCTTTGAATTGGCTTGATTAATTTACTTACTAATATTTGAATGTCCTCTTAATTAAAATAAGCTTCGGAAAAGTTGAAATTTCTATTTTATATTTGAAAAAGTAAGTGAAACATCAATCTAGTGAAATTTTAGTTTGCAATGCACAGCTTTATCCTAATAAGAGAAAAACAATTTTTAAATTTCTGTCTTGCCATGCTGAAAAACATATGGAAATACTTACCTACCAATTAGTGAAGTCCAAGGAAAAGAACTTGGCAAAACTTATCTTTTTGTTGACTTGAGCTCATAGTGTACGTGTTTAATTAATGGGCATATTGAAGTCAGTATGGTTATATTCCTAGCAGAGTCGTTACTTGTAATGTTAATGGTTCCATGAAACGAGAATTTTAAATTAAAATGTTCAATGATGCACATTGCTGAATTTTACTTAATTTCAAGTACAAGTGCATTTTAATTTGCAAAGGAAAAATGTGTCATTTATATTTGATTAAATAAATGAGGCCAGTCTTCTTTATTGTTGTTGTTTATAGTACTAGTAATGATATAATTAGGATTAATTGTGTCCTTGTTCAGGCTAGGTCTGCTTTCTTCCTGCCTATTTGAATCCAGTGAATGTTACTGCTCCTTCAGATTTTAGAAATAAGAATAAGCTGCGAGCACGTATATTTTGAGCATTTTAGATGGTTTTTAGTTCAGATGTCTATGAACATATGTAGATAGAGGACAGCAGTGGAGTGAGCCAGATTAAACACTGCAGGAGTGAGGACTGTGGGGAAGGAGAGCATGTAGTAAGTTTCAGGGGAGCAGCTGTCTCCCAGCACTTGCTGGTGTTTGCCAAATGGGTCTGCTACCTCAGATGTAGCCAGAAACGTGATCCTTTCTGATTTTTAAAACTTCGTTGCAGCCAGTCAAAAGATATATGTAATCCACATCTAACCTAGAAGCCACCTCTTCCAACCTTGTTCTTAGGGTTTTTTTCTTACTAAATAAGTCTCTCAGAACCTTTAATACTTTCAGCAGTGCTCACATTCACTATTTCTGGTCTATCTCTACTTAGATTTGTATGTCCTGTAATTTATAGACAGTTCTTGCCTGTTTTATAGTTTTGAGTAACAATCCTGAACAAAATAAACCTGTGAAATGGAAAGAGTGAATGATTTTTACTATATCTCTTGAGGCCTCAAGCTTTTAAGAGCCTTGCTTCAGGCTACAGGAACAGTAAAAAACTAGATCTCAACTGTGGCATCTTTTATGGAAAGCCTTTGGGACAACAAAGCCTTCTGCAACATTCTTTCTCTGCTGAGGTGATTATCTCCGGGTAATTTCGAAAGCCTTTTACTTGTTTTCTTTTGCTTTCAGTTTAAAAAACATCGACTTTCTGTTGTACATACCAATACCTATGCGAAATCTGTGGTGAACATGGCAGATTTAGTAAGTATTGACCTGATTTCATATTGTGCTAGAATTTTATCTGCAGACTACTAATAGAAAGAATAGTACTGTAGTAGTGTTCAGTTACTAAACCTTTGAGTAGGCAGTCAGGGTGGAGTAGAGTTGGATGAAAGAAAATAGCCCTGTCCAGTTAAGAGCTAATTCAGATAGCTAGTTAATCTTAGAAATATATAAGCAAAACCAAATAAAACCACAAGAAGAAAAGGTAAAAGGTTAGGATGAATTTAGAAATATAATTTAGAAAGATATTTCCTTCTTGGAAAAAGGTTCATTTGAGTATGCTGTTAGTTGACAGCACCTCCCTACCTTCAGAGGAGACCAGGAGAAACATTAGACATGCAAAATAACTACTTTCTTTTGAACTGTCTTTAAAATTGGCTTTTCCTCTGTGTTCTGCTTATTCATATAAGAGCAGGACCAAGAATACAATGTTAACTTCTACTCAGACTCCCTCCTGGATGTTGAAAATGCAGAAGCTGTTCTTCTTCTTCTTCTCATTCCCATAAACACTCTCCTGACTTCCTTCCTTTGGTTTGTGATCCGTTCTCTGACACTGGTAAAATGACAAGCTTGGTCTGTAGAAAAGGTGTGGTTCTTGCTGTGTGGCTCCAAGTTGCACCTCAGCCCAGGTTTCGTAGTGACCTTGTAGTGGACTTCTTTGACTTCGGTCTGACTCTGGGAGAGAAGGTCACCCACGGATTTGCTGGAGTTCCTCCCCATGCTGGTCCCACTGTAAAAGACAAAGGTTGAACCACAGGGTCCTCCCAGTGAGAGAGAAACGGTGCCCATCGCACCTCTTCACAGCCTGCCTGGTGCTCAGCAGTGATGCTGTCCTACAGACACGCTGGACTCCTTCCAAAGCTTCCCTGGCGGGGCCAGTCAGTCAGGCTCCATCAGGGTGTGTAGAGGCTACGGATCTCTGTGAAGAGGCTTTGTTGTCCCAGTTTTTGGATAGGTTGCTGAAAAATGCATGTATTTTTTTGTTCAGGCTGCCAGAAAGTGGACTTGGGAGCCTTGAATTGGTTGCAGATATTTGTTGCAAAGAGGGATCATTTGTTTCTAGAACGTGTTTTATTCTTTGGCTATTACTCAGTAAACAACTTGATTTTCTGTCAAGAGAAATGTGTGCAAATTAAAGTGATAATTATCCTTTTTAAAAACAACAATTTTTTTTTTTTACCTTTACCTAAAACAGGAGGAGTTTCCCTGAGGTTTGTAGTCCTACTCATAAAGTATTTGATCTTACTATGTGAACAGCTGTTGTGTTCATTCTGTTACTATACTAGATATATAAAGACCAACTTAAGACGAGAATAGTATTGGTTGCCATGGAAACCTGGGCAGCTGACAACAAGTTTGCCATATCTGAAAATCCATTGATCACCCTACGTGAGTTTATGAAATACAGGAGGGATTTTATCAAAGAGAAAAGCGATGCAGTTCACCTTTTTTCGTACGTAACTTTTCTAATGATTTGTTACTCTTTTTTGGCTTCAATGTTGAATGCTCTATTACTTATGACCAAGATGTATCCTTTCTACTGTATAATATAATTAAGCTTTGACATTGCAGGGTATTTGAGAGTTTCACAGCATAGATCATTAAAACTGTTACAAAAAATTTAGTAATTTGATTTTGAATTATGTTGTTGCATATTTATTTCATTTAATTTGAAGGGATTTAATCAGAGCATTTGTAGAGAAATAAAAGTACTTCTTATTCTCACGCAGTATTCTTAACATAGATAAATACTCTTTAAAATTGCTGCTTTTACATGTTGGTGTATTTTCTGCTTTTGGTTTTAAGAGGTATATTTCGGGAGTTTATTTTTTCCCCTTGCACGTTCTTTTTTTGTAATTTATGTATTTGATGTAATAAAATGTGTACTGTAGCATTTTTAAAAACCTGCCATCTAAAGTCAGCGAAGTTGAAGCTAATTATAATTGGGGGTAAAAGAAATATTTTGGGGTGACTTTTAACTTTTGTATTATTTCAGATTTGGAGAAAAGTTATAGGAATATCACAGGGAAATTACATGTGCCCTTCACCAAGACGCACTCATTATTATATATTCCCTCATTTGTTTTATGGTCTCCTTCCCTTCACCCTCCTTTCCTCCTTTCCATCCATCCTAGTGGGTGCTTACGTACTGAATATTGTAATGTGTGTCTTCTGAGGTTAAAGATATTCTCTGATACAACCACAGTAAATTATTAAAATAATAAAATATAGCATTGACGTTACTATTATGTAATCTTTACTCTATATTCATATTTTACAAATTGTCTCAACCATACCTTTTATTGATAACATTTTCCTATCCAACCACAACACAAATTCATTATCACACATTTTGATTAATCATTATGTCTCTCTAGTCTCCTCTAATCGGAAAGATTTTTCTCAGCCTTTATTTTGAGCTTACATCTTTTGAAGAGTATAGGCTAATTATTTTATAGACTCCTGGTCACTGTGAGACTACCTGATCTTTTCTCATTGTGAGATTCCAGTTATGTGTTTTTGGTAGATACGGCCGAAGTGATTCTCATAGTGCATCATATTGGCAATTTTGAAAAATATCTGTACTTCAGCTTGAGATTAACCGTGAGGGGTGCTGTTATGTTTGAACTGTGAGCAGTAAGTGTCTTTCATTTTCTTTTCTAAAAGGGGAAGTCAATTTGAGAGTAGCCGGAGCGGGGCAGCTTATAATGGTGGGATTTGCTCGTTGCTGAAAGGAGGAGGCGTGAATGAAGTAGGTGTGAACACCTGTACAATACAAAGTGGGATGATGGCTGAAGATGTTTTCCTCATGCTTAAGAGATAGTATCTCAACATTCCATACACTCCAGGTGTTAGAGTGCCTTATTAGCAACCAGTATATTTACTGTACAAGCCCAGAAAACAGAATAAATAATGAAAGATGATACCTGATAATTCTGCTCATGTTCTACTTAGAATAATTTCCAAATAAAGTAATTTACATATTATTTAGAGAATCTGTACCTTCACGTTTCTTGGAAAGAAGTCCCTGTTTTCACTTTGAATGATTTCCCAGAGAACTGAGTAATTCCCTGAAGCACTTGGTTGCCACCTAATAACCCAGTGGGATATTTTCTTCTTTCTTCAGCATTTGACAAATTTTGGGGACAAAAAAAAATACAGTACGTTTTGCAAAGGGGCTCTTTTTATCCATGACAATGTGATGGAAATGTTCTGAAAGAAAAATACCTGAATCTTTGGGAGGCTCCATATTGAGAATAACTGTCTTAAGTGTTTATCAGCCACACGTCCTCACTGCTTCCTGTTTATCTTATGCTTGTTTTGTAAAGGTATTTTCTGTTGCATTTGGAGGGAGTTTTAGGAGTACAAATGGACACATGAGTATGACCAAGTTTCAAATAAAATTTCCACATTTATTTTGTATAGTCAAAGAACTAATCATACACAACTACTAATTTTTTTAGTGATGTTACTGAGTGAAATTTGGAGAGAATTAGGTTTTAGTTTTTACACCCAAAAATTGACTATTCATGGGTTTTTTATTTATCCTAGAAGATGTAATCAGGCATAAATTTATTTCCTACTTCTTCCCAAATGCACATTTAGCACTAGGTACAATGTGTTTAGCTTCTACTAAAGGAAATGCTTAGAAATTACTCATTTTCAAATATATTTGTTTTACTAGCCATTTTTAAATGATAACTCGCATTTACATATATTTTATTTTTGTTTTTCAGTTTGGGAAAACTGATTTAATGGCTGTTATACTTGCTCAATCATTAGCCCATAATATTGGTATTATCTCAGACAAAAGAAAGTTAGCAGATGGTAAGTTGTAGCACATGTGTGGCTTAATTGCAGTTACAATAGACTGTCTATTAAGTATTTTCTAGAATGAGATTCTGTGATTCATTTGCTTGATCAAAAGAGTATGGTCAATAATATAAAATAAATAAGGGTACAAAATGTTTTCAGATATAATACTAGGGAATAATTATATTACAGATAAAAATGTCTGCATATGTCATAAACATTTTTTTTGTTTGTTTGTTTTTCTTTTGGTACTGGGGATTGAACTAGGCACTTTGCACTTGTGAGGCAGACGGCAGAACCATTAAGCTAAATCCTTGGTAATGCATGTATAATAAACATTTAAAGCCATGTGATAGTAAATTTATAGTTGAATTTAGCCTAAGAGGGCCAAAATGAGCTTATTTTTGGTAATATGAAATGACCTAGTAGAAAGCCGGGCGTGGTGGCACATGCCTGTAATCCCAGCACTTGGGAAGCTGAGGCAGGAGGATCGCTGTAAGTTGGAGACCAGCCTGGACTACACAGTGAGTTCTAGGTCAGTCTCAACTACATAGTGAGACCCTGTCTCAAAAAACCAAAAGAAAAAAGAAAGAAAGAAAGAAAGAAAAAGAAATGGCCAAATAGAGAATCACAGGCATTTTATTTCAGGTACAGTGTTAAATTTATTTAAAGCACATGGCCACAGAGGTAGAGCTTCCTTATCAGGATCAGACCTCATGATGGGCTTCGTAATATATGGACCTAGTAAAATGTGCTAGGATTCATATCTGTGAAGAATATCTTTTCCCAAGTAGGCAAAGTTACTTCACTATGAATTGTCAAATTCTAGATATTTAGGGTAACAATTTGAATTTAGCATTTTATTATTTTGGTAAATTTGTAAATGTAGTTATGTATAACAACTTACCAATTCTAGAGCACCCATTATTTGACAGATGAATGAATGATATATTACCTACATCTAGATTCACTTTTAACTCTAAAGATAGTCCTGCCAGATTCTGATTTTTCGACCTCTCTTATAGATATAGTGACTATCTTAAGTAAAATGTCTCCAAAATCACATGTTACATGTCATGCCATAGTTTGAGCGCAGGTGTTCCTGGTTCTGAGGCCCTACTACTGAATCTATGTACTCCACTGCCTTCTACCTCAGTGCAGAGGCTTTGAAAAGTGGCCAAATGCTGTAATCATTCCCTAGAAGGCCCGTGAAACTGGGGTCCCATAGTGGGGCCACAAACTTCTTCCCTACTTCATTCGTATTTGATTTTAAGTCATGTTAAATGAATGCTTTAAAATTTTGGCCATTTGTTAAAATACTAGAGAAGATTTTTCTTTAATTGAGAATTATATAGACTTGATAGGGTCTGAGTATATTTTTGTTGTTACAATTGCACAAAAACTTCAAGTATACGAAGGTTAGAAAGCAAGTATTGCTTTTTAAATAAGTATTTTAAAATAGAGTGAAGATAATTTTCTTAAACACAGAAACCAGTACAGCTGTGTTTACTTTATAAAAGGTGTGTGTATTCATTTTCTCCTAGGTGAGTGTAAATGTGAGGACATGTTGTCTGGATGCATAATGGGAGACGTTGGGTGAGCCATTTGTAGTTGGAAATATCTTACCTTTTCTTTATCTACTGTGCTGTTGTCTTTTTACAAATATGATACTTAATAGTGAAGTACATGGACTCTCCCCACCGCATTTATAATAAAATCGAAATTAAATATTTTTGAATATTTATATCAAATTAAATGTAGAACTCTTGATGTATGTTCCTAGTGGAAATAATGTGTGCTAGACAGCCATTTCACAGATGTAGTAATCCATTTCTTTAGATGCTGTTAGGTTTAAGAAACATTTCAAATTACTTTGCTGAAAATTTAGAATATATCAAGTGAAGTCACAAAATATGACATTTAAAAACATTTCGAAAGATTTTTAAAGTGCATTTTTCCTCTTACAAGTAATATTTTTGAAGTTATTATATATCAATGATGCAGTCTTTTTAAAAGTCAGTTTTTCTTCAATAGTATATTTTGTGTAACATGCAATCAGTTAACTAGATTTTACCTGGTAATCTTAGTGCTTTTATATTTCAAATTGACTTTAAAAAGCCATGAGCAGTCCTCAAAGTTTATAAACTCTCAGGCAACTAATAAAATAGTGTTTGATTATAGAATCTACAATCAAAAGTGCCTTGTATTGTTTGGTTTTAAGTGTCCCAGAGTTTTAAAGCATACAGAGTAGCATTTTATCTTATATTAAAGTTACATCTACTGTTTGTTATATACATGTCTTATGAGGAATGTTTAACATCTTCCAAGTCAGTTTTGTGCAAAACCATTTATCAAGTACTGCTGATGAGGTTTCTTCAAGGAAGCATTCTGTGCTGTGCTGTGATGCAGTGTCACCTTGTGGCTTGCCACATAACATTTGTAAGAAATTAGAACCATGTGTGTGTTATACCAAGATGTAAAATTAAAGATGAAAAATGAGTGCGAGTGATCATTTCAGTGTTTTTGAAATTGGTCAGTACTGTATCTAAAGCTGTGGTTTGTATGTTTTAACTTTCATGGCACGGAATAAATTAAAATGAAAAACAAGAAAGTAAATATTTTTAACATTCTTGTTTATAAAGTACTTTCATAAAATCTCCTTTTTTTTGGAGACAGCCTTTCTGTGGGGATCATGCTGGCCTTTAACTCACTATGTAGCCCAGACTGGACACTGGCTCATGATTCTCTGGTCTCGCCTTCTCATGTGCTGGAATTATGGACTTGCTATACTGCATGTGGATTAAAATAGTCTCATTTCTGAAAGAAAATTGGTGTCAAGTTAGTAGATCTCAGTGACTTTTTAAGCCTTGAATCTGGGCCAGAAATTTAGGAAATGAGAAGCAGCTTTGATTTTGATGATTTATGCCGTGATGGAGAACTTTTTAGAGATGTGCCCGTGTTGCAACCCAAAACCCACTTATTTATCCCAAAAGTGCCAACACTATGATTAATCCTAAACACTGAGGTTTTAATTTAGAAAGAAACAATTCTTACATTAACATCTTTTGTCTTAAAAGAAAAACAACACACGTTCCATAGGTTTACCACCACTGGCTTACAGCTTACCTCCTAATTTCAGTTCTTTTCTTTTTATCTCCTTCAATTCTAGTTGAGTAAGTTATAAGTAGTAAGGGCTTGTAAGTTGACCCTCTAAAGAAACAGCAGCAGCAACAACAACAAAAAGCAGCTTGGTCTTGTGGCTTCTCTGAGTTCTCTGTGTGTGCTTGCCCACTGAGGCTGAGCTCAGGCCACTGCCAATGGCTTCACAGTGTGGTGTCGGGGAACGTGGCTGGGAAGAGAAGTGTACAGTCTGTCTTCATAGTGTCCCATCTTCAGACACTGGCAGCCATTAATTCTCATCTTCCATCCTTTGTGAATGAATTTTACAGCCATTCCTTTTTCTCCAGGATTATCATTACGTGACTTTAATCTTTGACCATCCTCTGCTGTTTTTATTTCAATAACATTCTAAACACTGGCTCTTTCTCTCCCCTCCTGAGCTCCATTTTCATCATCCTTAAAAGTGTAGAGAATAAAACAGCAAACACTTCTTTCACTCAGTTTTGCAAAGTAAAACACTGCCTACCTGGTCAAATCCTCCTTGTGTTCTCCGTAATGTCAGTGTACCCCAGCCCCAGCCAAAGGAATGTCTCCTGGAGTCTGGTTCATATTACTGTTTGGAGGGTGTGTTTGTGTACGATTGTGTGTCTCACTTCCTCCTCACTGGGACACGATACCGGACACCAACGTCTTAAAGAAGAGGTTTATTTTGGCTCTCGTTTTAGAAGTTTCAGTTCTTGGGTGGACCACCAGCTCCAAGGTAGGACAGCTTATGGTGGGAGAGAGCTGGTCGCACCGTGGCAGACAGGAACAGGGAGAGAGGGGAAGAGCGAGGAGGGGGGGCACAGTCAGCCTTTCCAGGCCGTGCCCCCGGGACCCACCGCTTCTGACCGGGACACACGACACTAACACCAAGCTAGCTCTCATGCCCCCAATCCAGCTATTCTCCAAATGTCCCACCCATGATCTAAGGAAGATCTAGGGGGATAACAAAACCTAACACGGTATAAAACAGACAGCTTAATACGCTTCATTTTATAGAAGAGGCGTCTTACTGTATATATTCAACTGTGCCTTGCTGTTTCTGATCATCATTATATTTGTGAGATCAATTCATGCTCTAAATGTACTGTATAGGCTTGAGCTTTAAAAGCCTGTGAGAGTCCTTGCTGGAAGAATGGGTTTCAAATTTCTTATGCCAGTATTTAGATGTCCACAGTCTTTCTTTGTCCTCCTTTACAATTTCATTTCCCCCATTGATTCTGGTCTGTTTGCTAACCATAATTATACAAATTGATTTCAAGCTTTTTTGACTTGCTAACATACTCCTACATGGACTTTCAGCTTCTTAAAAATTTGCTTAGCGTAATAGTACATGAACTTTCAACTTTTTTTGATTTCCTGTGTATGTTCTCTTTCTTTGGAATGCTTTTCTTCTTTTTCCTCTAGCCGTCAAAGCTTATTATAATGTTTAACATCAGCATAACAGTTTAATTCTTTACATACTTATCTTTATCTTGCCATTTATTTATACATTTTAAAGGGATTACAGTGTACATTAATTTGCATTTTATGCCTCAGACCATAATCCTTTGTACAGACTTGGTTTTCATTAAATTCATTGGATTAAACTTGAATTTTGATTTTATTGAAAAGTGTATAATCTTAACAATCTTCAATTTTAAGACTAATACAGTAAGGTGACTAACATTATCCAATTATTGATTTTCCGCTCTTCCACAGCTATTATCTACCGAAAAAGTTCACCCAGTGCAATATCGAAGAGTATCATGACTTCCTGAATAGTGGAGGTGGGGCCTGCCTGTTCAACAAACCTTCCAAGGTAATAAGTATGATCAAGAGTTATTAATCATTAATCTCTTTAATGTTATAAACAAAATTTCAGCCATTGGGTCTATAAAAAAAGCTTCTCAATTTGGCCTCTCTACATATTCTAGATGGGCTAAACACCTACATTTTCAAATCAGCTTTAATAGTAGGCATTTTGTACTGTTCTGAGGTAATAAAATGCAGATAGAAATGAAGTTCATTTGTTTTCTTTATCTTGTTTTGTTTTTGCCCCTAATTAATTAGGAAATGTCTTTTTATGAGAATGTGTACACCTTCATTCTGTCATCTCAGCACTGATTTGTGAATCAATATTATACATGTAGCTAAGAGCAAATATTTACTAATTTTGTCTTATCATTATTGGATAAATTATATTCAAAACATAATAAAATTGATAAATAAAACAGACCTAAGTGTATTTTTGGACAGCCTAATAATTGCTCTAGTCTCTGAGGCAAATTATCATTGCCACTTTCTGCAAGGCTAAGTTAAGAGTAGGTTCTGTGTTTCATTTTAAATAGATCAGTGGATATATTAATTTTTGTTATGCTTTTCATTTCTGTGAAATAACTTTAAGAAGAAAAAATAGTTAAGAAAGAGCTTTTCACAGATGATTAGACTTGAGCCTCACAACAATTTTGGAGTGCTAACTAATTAGATGAGTAGCTGGTATTATTATTATGCCTAAGCAGTTATGCCAAGATTTTATTTTATTTTGGTGCTGTAAGTTAACCATAGAACTTCACGGATGCTAAGTACTTGCTCTTACACTGAGCCACACCTCAGCCCTGTGCCAAGATTTGAATCCAGACATTCTGACTCCAATCCCGTTACTGCTGACTGAAACAGGAGTCAGGAATCTGTTAGGTTTGGTTTTAGAGATTAGATGCTCTTTATATTTTGGTCCCTGCTTGGTATGTGTGTTATACATGTAAATATATGTGGAATGGATATATAAATAAGATATTTCTAGATTTCTAAGTTCTAAAAGTCATGCCTTTTAGCTTAGGGCAATAAAAATATATTTGAGATGACTGGAGGGTATGGCGTATAGAGACATATAGGCGTGGCAGTTAGGACTCTCAAAATCTTTGCTGTTGATTTTTCTGTATTTTAGTTTCCTCTCTGGTTTTTGATTCACAGCTTCTTGACCCTCCTGAGTGTGGTAACGGCTTCATTGAGACTGGAGAGGAGTGTGATTGTGGGACCTCTACAGTAAGTCTCTGGTCATTTTAAAGATGACGGCTAGGTAATTCAGGGTCCTTCTAGGTCCACACACTCCAGTGCACAGAGCAAATATTATGTTTGGAAATTTCATAGAATTTGTGAACGAGAGATGATTATTGTGAGTCTGCATACTTATTTTAGAACATTGGTACTACTAGGAAGTTTTAGGAAAATGACACCGTTTTCTGATGTTTTGCAATGTTTATCTTTCTTAGGAATGTGTCCTTGAAGGAGCAGAATGTTGTAAGAAATGCACACTGACGCAGGACTCTCAGTGCAGTGATGGTCTCTGCTGTAAAAAGTGCAAGGTAAATAAAAGCTGATCAAAGATGAATGAACAGAGAGTACAAGTGCTTAAATTGCTACGCCTAGGAAAATATAATGTAACAGTAATACTAGTGTCTAAATAACTAACTGCTGGCAAGATTTCCCTGACATTTTATGAGGTATAGTTACCATTATTTTTCTAACCAATAGTGATTTGCCCAAGTTCTTGCAGGAAGTAAGTCAGAGAGTTTGGGCCCAAACCCTGTCAGTCTTCAGAGGCTGTCCTGTCCTTATTGCCTCCCCGAGGAGCAGGCCGAGGAAATGAAAACATTACTAATTTTTGAATCAAGCTTACCTTTCTTTGTGAAGCCAAGCAGATATTCAGTAGATTCTTCTTTTTGCTGAGTTTGGTGCATCTCTTGCATTTGCTGTTGAGGGAGTAGAAAATATACTTTAGCTGTAGTAATATGTTACATGTCTTACTGTGCATGGAATTGAGACTGCATCTTAACATACTTATCTATCCTCACATCTGTTTTCAGGTATTTAACCTTTATGTCAAGACTAACGTTATGTAGGGCTTACTTTGCCCTAAGAACTCAAAATCTTTTTTTTTCCTCTTCTTAGATAATACCTGGTATAACATCCTACATTGTTTTTGAGAGTATCTGTTTCCAGATATGCACATTTTATAGATCAGAGGGAGGCCTGTCAGGACCTCCATGTAGCACCAAGCACTGACACTAAACCACTGAGTCTGTGCCTGGCACCTCAAGATCTCTTGAGTCTCCACTGTGCCACTAACTGCCCTGTGCATCCCCCAGACCCACCAGAGACTGTCTGGCACAGCTGCTGGAGTCTGTCTGCCACCCAGTTACGGTGCCTGGCCTGTTAAATCTACACCAGGTACACTTGAGCCTTCACCTAGAGTCCATTGCCCCATCCCCTCCCTGGGCCTGCTGTCACAGACGGGTGTTCATAGAGGGGGACCCCTCACCACATAAAACCACAGGCTATCAAGAGAGGCAGAGAGGATTTGTTGGATTAATGGCTAAAGGTTCTCGGGCCAGGGATTTAGCTCAGTGGCACTGCTCCTGCCTTGCAAGCACAAGGAAGGTCCTGAGTTTGATCCCTGGTACTACCAAAGAAAAAAAGGACTAAAGGTTCTGGAAGAAAAACACTCATTTGGAAATACATAGGAATTTTTTTCCTCTGTCTTCTCTTGACCCAATTTTCCCCTCCCTGTTTGTATGTATTTATTTATTTATTTGGTGGAGTTTGGAGATTTATTGCCCATTCTCCTCTCCCCTCTTTTTATTATCACTTGTTTTATTTGTTTCATTAGGTCCTCCTTTTATTCCCTTTTCTTTCTCATTATCTCTCTTTCAATTTATTTCTTTTTTTCTCTAGTTTGATCTCTATTTTTTATATTTATCCTTTTTCTTGTTTTTTTGTTACTGTTATCTAATACTACTAAGTTGTGTCTACTTCTTAATAAGATCTTTTATTTTAATTTTATAACCTTCCCATTTTTTATTGCTTAATATTTGAAATTCTATTTTTGATGCTTCCTTTCCCCTCGCCCTCTATCTTTATTAGACCACTAACCATTAATCTTTATGAATCTGAACATAGTTAACTATACCATTCTATGTTTGGATAGTGTTCTAATGTTATTGGAAGTAAAATTGCTCTATTGAGTAGATGTTTATGTACATCAATATCTGGTTTGTCTTAGAATTTGTATTATAAATATAAATCTTATTTCTATGGTTAAGTATGGTATATTATTAGTTCTTCGTGTTTGTCATTATCTAGTTTGCTTTTTTTTTTTTGGTACCAGGGGTTGAACTCGGGTCCTTGTGCTTGCAAGGCAAGCAGTGGAACCACTGAACTAAATCCCTGGCCCTCTAGTTTGCTTTTGATGCTGTTGTTATTGCTGCTTTTAGTATTTTAGCCAACATAACATGGTTATTTCTGTCAACTGGTTTACTTTGTAAGTCAATATCTAGAGGGCCGGAGGTTATGAACAATAGTTCAGCCCATTGCTGAAGAACTGGAGCCATTTGTTGGGAGTTCTTGGGGTCTTCTCTGTAGAGGATGATGTCATCAGAAAATAATAATTTAACTTCTTCCCTTATATCCATGTCCCTTTTCTTTCTCTTGTCTAATTTTTCTGGCTAATGTGTTGAGGGCTATACTGAACGGGAGTGGTGATAGTGAGTATCCTTCTCTTGTTCCTGATTTTAGAGGAAAAGCTTTCAGCTTCTCTCCATTTAGTATGATGCTGGCTATTGGTTTGTCATAGACAGTTTTCATCAGATTGACATAAAGACCATTTATTCCTATTTTCTTCACGGTCTTTATCATGAATTGATGTTGGATTTTGTCAAAGTGTTTTCCTCCATCTACTGAGATGATCATGTGTTTTTTCCCCTTGCTTCTGTTTCTGTGAAATACTACATTTATTGATTTGTGTGTGTTGAACCATTCCTGCGTCCCTGGAATGAATCCTACTTGGTCATGATGTACAAGCTTTTTGGTAATTTACAGCATTCTGTTTGCCAATATGTTATTGAGGAATTTTGCACCTATATACATTAAAGGGACTGGCTTGTAGTTCTCTTGTTTTGGTTAGGTCCATTTCTGGTTTTCTAATCAGGGTAATGCTTGCTTCCAGGAATGACTATTTTTTAATTAATTGAGTTTATTGGTACATTTAAGGTATACAGTACAATTACGTTCATTATTGGAATCTTGTACCTTTACATGACAGGTCTTGGTTCTCATTTTTCCCCTTGTCCCTGCCCTCCCTTCACCCCCTCCTCCCCTCCCCATTTACAGACACTTTATTTCCATTTTTTCATTTTGTCATATTTTTTTCTTTTCCCTTATTAGCTTTCCCCTCCCCTTCCCATTTTCCCTACACCTTTAGACCTTTTCTTCCTATTTCACATGATCAATTAATATCATTAGAATCTTATGTACTACTATAGTTTTCACACCAGAGAAACTATAGGAATCTTCCTGAAAGAGTTAGAGTCTCTGTACTACAGTGATACGTGCATACCCGTGTTTATAGGAGCACAATTATAATAGCTAAATCTTGGAAGTAGCTTACATATACACCAATAGATAATGAGAGAAAAATGAGGTATTATATACAATGGAGTACTACTCTGCCATAAAGAAGAATAAAGTTGAGACATTTTAGATAAATGGATACATTTTTTAAAAGTAATTTTATTGGTACATTTTAAATATACATAATGATAACATTCATCCTTTGTGCATAGACATGATACCTGTACATGATATATCTTGACTCTTCTTTCTTTCCCCCATAATGGCTGCTCCTTGAGACTATAATGGTAAATGAAATAAATCAGACACACAAGTTGAAATGCTGCATTGTTTTTATATATGAGAAACCAAAAGTGTAAATAAGGAGCAAGGTAAGAGATAGATATTAGGGGGTAGGAATATCTTTTTCAAATGGGAAGGGGAACAAGAGATGGAAGGAGGGAGGAAGGAAGGAAGGAAAGGGGGATTTAAAAAGAAATGAAGACCACAGTGATATATGCACATCCATGTTTATAGCAGCACAGTTTGTAATAGCTAAAACTTGGAAACAGCCCAATTGCCCATCAACTCGAGATTGGATAAAGAAGATGTGGTTTTCCTATAAAATGGAGTACTACTCAGCCATAAAGAATGAAAAACTAGAGACATTTATAGCTAAATGGATGCACATTGAGGCCATACTCTTGAGTGAAATAAGTAGGACACACTTGAGTAAATACCAAATAGTTTCTCTGGTGTGAAAAACTACAAGTGTAAATAAGGTTCAAATGGTATAATTGCGAGTGTGAACTAGGAAGAAAATGGCTAAAGGGGGAGTGGGAAGGGGAGGGGAAAGGAAATGAGGGAAAAGAAAAAATGTGAAAAAGAAAAAAATGGGAACAAAGTCTTTGTAAGTAGGGAAAGGTGAAGGGGGTGAAGGGAGGGCAGGGGTATGGGGAAAAATGACAACCAAGATATATCACGTAAGGGTACAAGATCCCAAAGATAAATGTAACTGTATTGTTTGCTTTAAATGTACAAATAAACTTAATAGGGAAAATATACTAAAAAAATAAAAAGAAATGAAGAGAGCTCGGGATTTAGCTCAGTGGTTCCACTGCCTGCCTTGCATTTCCAGGTCCCGAGTTTGATCCTGGTACTGGAAAAAAAAAAAAAAAAAAAAAAAACTAAAAAAAGAAATGAAGAGAAAAATTGGAGATAGAACTTTTGCAAATAGGAAAGGGGAAGACTTGAAGGGAGCAGGTGGGGGGAGGGGAAGGGGACAAAAAAAAGTATTAAGATGTGTTATGTACATGAGCAAACTCCCCACAATAACTGTAATCATTACATACTGCAAACATGTACTAATAAAAAAGTAACAGCTGCTGATAAACAAACAAAAAGAAACTACCATACTGTCTTTTATATGCCAGAGATTATTCTACACACTTTATGTCATCTTGTATCTGAATTTCTCAACCCTGGCACTATTGATATTGTTGACTGAATAATTGTTTTTAGGCAAGGTGTATCTTCTGCATTGTAGGATGTTTGGCAGCATCCCTGGGCTCTCTTGGATGCAATCTTACCAGAACTCATGACCAAAAGTATCTGGACATTGGCTTAATATCCTCTTGGGGGCCAGTTGTCCCCTGGTTGAGATCACTGTCTTACACAGTGCTCATAGGCACACTTTCAGGTTTATATAACTGAGAGATCCCTGACCTAAGGAAGTTAAATAATCTGCACAGACTCCCACAACCAATCAGGAATAGATTGCAGCTGCATCCTAGAACTGTCAGCAGCTTCTGCTGTTTTCACTCTAACACAGTTCACAGGGAACTTGCCTTCTGGCAGCTTCCTAAAGACAAGCAAGGCACTGGTAGAGATCTTTGAGAACCCTCACTGCAAAAGAAAGATTAAACCAGATGTGACACAGACATTCTTTCATTTTAGCTAAAACAACTGCTTCTTCTGTTGGCTCTTCTAACTGCCATAACAAGGAATCCTGAATCATTTATCATAATCATTGATGTTTGATTCTGCACATCTATAATTACTTGTTTTCTTGACCTAGATAATTAGGCTCTTTGTGATATAGTCATTTCAAAGAACAAGCACAAAGTAATAAAATGTAAAAACCTAAAATAAAATGGCATGATTACTGGCCCACAAAATAACTACAAGTCCAGTAAAATCCTTTTTGCCACTCCTTGAACCGTATCTCTCCACTTTAGTCCCCACTCTGAATTTGTAGGGGATGAAAGACAGGGTAGCCAATGGAGAATGGGGAATTGAAGATCAAGATGAGGAATTGTATGTATCTCTGGTTTTCCACATGTATTTATAATGATTTATCTGTAAGCCAGGGGTTGGCAAACATTTTTTGTGAAGGGCAAGGTAGTACACGGGCTGTGCGGCTCCTACAGTCTGTTGCAGGTACTCAGCTCTGCAAGGAGCCGTGGAACGTACAGAAACAAGTGTGTGCTGGCCCTCAGTCGATTTCTGAACCTCTGCTGTAAAATATTGCTTTCTTATTTGTTTATTATTTTCCTCCTCACATTGACAGTTCATATAGGGCAAGTTGTGGTTGACTTATTTACTGCTGTATCCCAGCACTGCTGTGCTTTCTTCTCAAAGCCTCCCTGAGGTTCCCAAACATTTATATAGTCTTATCTAAACTTTATCTCAACTCTGTTCATATTTCTACTTTAGATATTCTGAAGTCGTGGCTTGTGCCAGTTTCAAGGAAGAGGAGAATCAGAACATACTAAATTATTTTGCTGACTTCCTTATTTTTGTGTCCCAGTTCCCCACATTAGAATGCACATTCCTTGTTAGCTCCAGGGTCCCGGTCTTTTGTTCTCCCCTGAATCTTCAGGGGCTAAAACAGTGCTAGGTACATCCTTGATGAATGTATGAATGAATGCAGATATTGTTCACCTGTCCTGAGAATGATCTTTTGAAATCCTGATTGGAGTTGGCAGTGGCCCCAAGTGATCTAGGTGTGGCCAGAGTCTCTAGTCTCTGTGCCTGCAAGGTTCTAACCTGGGAGGGAGGAAGTAGCTCATAAGGAAGGGAGCCCCAGGATATTCCTGTGAGCAGACACAAAGGACCAGAGGAACCAGTCCCTGATGTTAGCACTGTGCAAAGGGAAAAGGAAAGTGCTTGAAGACTGGTGAATATAATAACTTCCTGTATCTCTGTTCTTTTTGTCATAATGAGTGTTACAAACGTGTGTGAGAGACGACCTAGACACAAGCTTTATGTGAGCCAAAGGCTGATTTATTCTGTCTGGGAACAGACAGACAGAGATAGAGAAAGATGTCAGCCATTGGTGGGAGAAGAAGTTAAGTTTTTAGAGAGTTTGGGGATTGGGTTGTACTCCTAAGGAATCTGGAGTGGAACGCCTGGGGTCAGAGTTCCCAGGATGTCAGTGCAGGAGTGTAGATAATATCGGACTTCTCGGTGCTGGGGAGATTGTATGTCGTGTCCTAAATATCTTTGTGGCCATCTGTTCCGTTTACTGAGGGCAGTATGGCCCTTTAGTGGTGTGCTATTGTTTGTGGAAGTTGCTGAGATGGTCTCACTCAGGTCAAGCGTGACAGTGAGCACTCTTGCAATTTATAAATGCGAGCGAGGTTGAAAAGTTATAATAGAACTGCATACTTACAAAAAGTATTTGAAGTGATTGAAAACAAAGAAACATAAAACAAAACCCATAGGGACAAATAGACACTGAAAAAGAGTAAATAGCGAAGATTTAAAATCAATGTAAAGATTAGGGGGGTAACTTGGGAGGAAATAGCTTTGCTAGAAAGTTAAACTTACGTGATTCAGCTGAATTCTTGATAGATAAGGCCAGAGAGGGATAGAGAGACAAAGACAGAAACATAGAATGAGAGAGAATTATGTGTTTGAAGTATTAATAAGAATGGACGTTAGGGCTGGGGATTTAGCTCAGTGGTTCCAGTGCCTGCTTTTCAAGTGCAAGGACCTGAGTTTGATCCCTGGTACCCCCCTCAAAAGAATGGAGGTTAAAGCCTAAATCTAAATGCTACTTGGCAGTAAAAATTACTAGAAGTAGGACTCCCTCATCCTTCTTAATGGAGATGTGCCGTCAAGCAGTATGCTGTTTTAGCAGAATATTTGAGGTTTGTGTGATGACCACAGAAGTCATCCCATACACAAGAAACTGTCTCTTAGAACTATTTAAAATAGCTTTGTGTTCAATAATGGTGGTTTCCCCGACTATCGTCTTAAAATAGTTTAAGGTATTTCTAGCCAAACTATCTTTATTTTCTTTTTAAAGATGATTCTGTGAGAGTTTTTGTTCCTTCTACAGTTTTACACGTTGATTTTTCCTTCACTTTAGTTTCAGCCTATGGGGACCGTGTGCCGAGAAGCAGTGAATGACTGTGATATTCGTGAAACCTGCTCAGGAAATTCAAGCCAGGTAACTCACAAAACAATTTCCTCAAACCCTAGAGGAAAAGTCGGGGGTGTCTTTAGCACTCTGACTTCCCGCTGAAATGCAGTGGACAGGATGTGCATGCATTTCTTTCATAGCATCTTTCTTTATGTTTCAGGATTTTAAGATTCAATAATCAACGTTCAGCGTTATTTTGTCTTAATATTAAATTAGCCTGAAACTACATGCGTGCCTTAAATATTTTGATTTTTGGCTTTAAATGCATAGTAAAAGGCATTTTATTTTTGCCTACTTAGTAGGAAGAAACAAAAGATCCGCCTGGCTCACAGGGCCCTAGTGTAGGGAGCCCTGAGAGGGAGGTGCCCTTTCTCTTGACGATAGTGGCACCACTTCCACCATTTGTAGCTGCCCCTGCAGTTGATAAGTTAGTTGTAGATAGACACACTGGGGAGACGGGGAACTGATGAGGGCTTCAAAATGTCCTGCCCTCACTTTGCACAGTAGTGCTGGATTATAAAAATGGCCATGCAAGTTGAAACCGTGCCACGTAGCCTGAGTTCACCGCCCCCTGAACTACATAGCCAGACTCTGTCTCAAAAAAACAACAAAAAAACCCAAACCAAGCAAAAAAAAAAATCAGTGGAAAATATTATGGCTGATCTATGATCTATAAAATATGTATCAAGGCTAGGTATTTACCAGTAATTCCAGCATTGAGGAGGCTGGGAAAGGAGAATTGCCTTGAGTTCAAGGCCAGCCTGACTACATAGTGAGACACTGTCACAAAACGACACAACAACAACAACAAAAAAAAAAAACACAGAAAATGCATCAAACTATTAAAATCTCTCATTGTTTTTTAAGGTGGTGGGCAATGAAAAAATATTTAACACACTAAAAGGAAACAATAAAAGTTATTTTTTGTAAAAATCTTTTGAGGAGTAGTTTGAACTCTGCTTGCCTCTGGTTGGAGCCTCAGGGTACAAGACTGAGCTCTGTTCTGTGCTTTCTTGCATTGTCTGGCTCCCGAGTTTGGTCAGCGGTCAGTCTCTTGTCCTCATCTTTCTGGGTCGTGAGATGCTGTCAGGGGTGTAGAGCTGCATGTGAGGTGTCTGGCTGGCATCACTGCCTCAGGGACGTCCTTGTTATGTCTCACCCACTCTGTGTATCATGCCAGCGAGCCCTCCTTTGCCTAGTCCCTCGGGTTGCCTCTCTGGAGCCTTCTGGCCAGGAGGTGTCAGCATCTTCCCCATAGTTGGCTACTACGTGTTTTTATCAACTCCTTTTACATTCAGTTTGAATTTCACTGCTGGCATCACCGCTTTCGCTTTCATTTCTCTTTTGCATTTTCATCTTTGGTGGCCAGTGCCTTCTTTTCAGCTATCTGTTTTTGTAAAATACCACATGATACCTCCAAGATACAGTAGTGGCTGAACCACGCACTGTGCTATCTGCACTGAGCTGAGGAACAGAGGGGCAGTGACTGCATGAGGATGAAAGGAACCAGAAGGGTCAGTGATTGCAGCGGGCATCTGTTACGGCCCGTGATCAGTGACCACAGAGCTAGTAGAAAGTTTGCACTCAAGTGGTGATAGTGTCCAGCGCAGTGAGAACTAAAACGGGGACCCCCCATTGTTTTAGTTGGACATGTTATTTAACAAGACTGTAGAATGTACTCTACATCTCCCAGCTTTCCCAAATGATGATATAGCTACACATTTTCTGTCCTTACAATAATAAATGTAAAAGTTACCATTTGTTTTATATCCCCACAAGAATGCTTTATAATTGTTTATGGTTGCTTCAAGGAAAAATAATGGGATTATAGAGCCTGTGTTTTTCTAAGGTTAATTCTCAAGTTGTGATTTGTGTGAGAGGGAGACACTGCTTCTCGCAGCACAGGAGAGGAAGCCGTTTCCTGCTCCATCCTGTGGGCATCCTGCCTGCCTTTGTCCTGTGCCTCCTTTCTGTCCTTGCTCTGAGGACCAGTGCATCTGCGTGAAGCACTGCCCTTAAACAGATCACGCCCTGAGCCGACTGCAGGCAGCCCTGTTCATTTGCTGCTGTATAATCCACTGTGTTTGCCTCTGGTAGATCCATGTTTTAGGGGTGCAAATGGTTGTATTTCCTCTCGCTTTTTTTTTTTTTTGAGACAGGGTCTCTGTCGCTCAGGCTGACCCTGAACTTAAGGCGATCTCCTCCCTCAGTCTCCCAAGTGCTGGGATTGTAGGCATGTGCCACCACCCCTGGCCCTTGCTCTCTCTTGAGATCTTCTTATTTGTAAATGACTTAGGAGATGGAAGTGTATTATCAGATGTAATTTTAAAAATGAAAACGTAAGAAGGATGACCCTCAGCCTGACGTTTCACTTTTGTGCCTTTTTCATAGTGCGCCCCTAATGTTCACAAGATGGATGGGTACCAGTGTGATGAGGCTCAGGTAGGTCTCACCGCTTTCACATGTGCCACCAGCAAGACACAAACACTGGAGTCTGATCAAAACAGGATTAGTTTAAGTGTTTTGTAATCAGTGTGGAAGATAAAGTGCCTTTATAATGTGTTGATTACTTCCCCGGTTGTATTTTCTTTATCAGCTCTCTGATTTAAACAGGCATTATTGCACTGCTAATGGGAGTTCCCTTTTCTGTTTTAGGGAATTTGCTTTGGAGGAAGATGTAAAACCAGGGACAGACAATGCAAATATATCTGGGGACAAAGTAAGTAATTTTAAAAAGTAGGACATCAGGCAAACTTTATAAGCATAGGAGGGCTGGAAGTAAATTTTTTACAACTTTATATCCAGGGGGTTCTCAAAGCTGTGAAAGGTCACCCCAGGAGCACCTTTCTGGAAATTACAGAAAGGTGCCTTCCCCGGGAAGGCGAAGCCCCACACTTCTGGGCCTGATGGTGGTGCCCGAAATGAGACAGAAGGTACAGCAGGACAACACATGGCTTACAAAACGGAGCAGACTGGGTCTCCACGCCTATGCTAAGAGCCCTTAAACAGACCTGTATAGAAGATGGGGGCGCACAGGATCCCGAATCGGGCACCCTTAACTGAGATCCAGCACTCCCAGCAGGAGTTGTAGTTTGCTCATCACCTATCTTATCTGAACCCTCCCTAGGATGACCTTCTGTATCAGAAAGTTACTGTGATTTCCCTCAGAATTTGTCAGTGTTGGCTGGGTGTGGTAGTGCACACCTGTGAACCAGTACTTGGGAGGCTGAGGCCGGAAGATCACTGAGTTTGAGGCTAGTCTAAAATGCATAGCAAGACCCCAAACAAAAGCCAGCAAAAGAGAATTTGTCAGTGTTTCAGAGGAAAATCTGTAACAGTCATACTTAAATCATATTATTTAAATTATATGCTATTTAAATTTATATTTAAACATTGTATAATCTGTATTTTTCTACAAGTATTACTGGTCTGCCCTTTAGAAGCAGTTTTGTCCTAAACGCTTTCAGAAGACAATTTTTATTAGGAAAAAAACTTTAAAAAAATGATAATCTTTAATTGGCATAGTCTGTCCTCCTTTGAGAAAAAGTGCGTGTTCTCATGGGGTACTAGGAATATTGAGAGGAAGAAAAAATTTAGCCTTGCAGGTTTATACTCTGAAGAAGGAGATGCAGTTTTTGTTTATTTCATTTGAATAGAAATAGTAGCTGTTAATGAGAAATAGGAAAAGAAACCACCAACATAATTTTGTTGTTGTTTTTAATGTATAGAGGTTGAGAATCCATTATCTGAAATGCTTGGTATGCAAGAGTGTTTCGATTTCAGATTTTTTATGATTTAAAAATATTTGCAGATAATGAGCTGTCTTGCGTATGAGATTCAAGAATAAACACAAAATTAATTTACTTTTCATATATACCTTATGCACAAAGCCTGAAGCTACTTTTATACAATATTTTAAATGTACCTATGAGTTTTTGCCTGTTTTTATTTTTGTTTTTGGAGTTTTAGATCAAACCTAGGGCCTCATGCATGCTAGGCAGATGTTCTACCCCTAGTCTTATGCCTGTACCTCATCACATGAGATCAAGTGGAATTTTCTACTTGTGGTGTTACGTTGCCCTTCAAAAAGTCACCAGTCTTACAGCATTGGGTATTTCATATTTTGGTTAGGGTTGTTCAGCCTGTACCAATGCTTTTTTGTCTCAGAATTTAGCATGAATTTCATTAAAAGCGTAATGAAATTGTTTTTGATAGCTGTTAAGAATTTAGAAAACACAGCCAGGTGTGGTGGCATACACTTGTAAACCCAGCACTCAGAAGGCCGAGGCAGGAGGGTCGCTGCAAGTTCAAGGCCAGCCTGGGCTACATAGTGAGTTCAAGGTTAGCCTGAATTGCATAGTGAGACCGTGTCTCAAAAATAACAATAGTGAATTAGTAAACATGGTAGAGCTTGTGCCACTATTTCTTAAATCTAATTACAATGCATACATATTTTAATAAAATTGCCTTTTTAATTCATATACTTTGCTGCTTAAGAAATTCATGCCTTGTATCTGGCACTGAGTTTGAAGCCCATATGCAGGAAGCCATTTGATTGCACTATCCTTCCTTATTAGCCAACTCCTGAGCAGTGTTCTTGCAGTCTACAGCCTAAGTTCCATCGAAGATGTAAAAATTGTTGTTTTCCAAATTTCAAATGAATCATGAAAAAATGTGCCTAAGCCTAGGATGCTGGTGGTACAGGAGGAGTCTTCTGAGCTGTGGTATAGTTTTTACTTGGGGTCTCGATAGCACTGTGATGCAAAGGGTCCACGAACTGTAGCTTTCCCTGCTGCAGACATTTTGAGCAGCTCACATTTCCTCCCTCACTGATAGTTCTGTTCTGCTTCAGAGGTGATGGCATCAGACAGATACTGCTATGAGAAGCTGAACATCGAGGGGACCGAGAAGGGCAACTGTGGGAAAGACAAAGACACTTGGATACAGTGCAACAAACGGTGAGGGCAGCTGTTGGCCCAGAGTGAGTCCCGCAGGCGACGAGCAGGGCTCCTGTTCTCTGCTCCCGCAAAGCACACTCTTGCCCACTCACTGCACTCTTCCCAAGCCCGTGGTACCACAGGAGTTCCCAGTCCTTGACTGGTACCCTGACTTCTCTCCCAAGGTCTGTGTCATCTTTACAGCAACAGAAATGTTTCATCTAGAGGATACCTCCCAGCACCTGGAAAATAAACATTTAAACCACCAGAATATATACTCGATGCCGTTGAATGAATTAACGGGACTGATTGTCCCATTTTTGCCAAAAATCTCAAGGTCTCACTCCCCGTGTAGAAGCCTGGGAGTGGAATCCAACCCTTCCTTTCCTCTGAGTGTTGTCCAAACAGCACATCATGGCATTTCCCCCTTGTGCTTTGCCACCACCTATTTGTGACGCACTTTTTCTCTTTTTTTGGTACCAGGGATGGAACTCGGGTCCTTGTGTTTGCGAGGCAGGTGGCGGAGCCACTGAGCTAAATCCCCGGCCCACACTTTTTCATTTCTGTATTTTGTCATTACCCCAGCTAAGACCTGTATTCACTCTCTAGCCGTTGTTCTAACATTCTCTTACTGTTCTGTACCAGTGGTCACCAGAATGCTAACATCACGGTGATTTATTCCTGCCTTCTTTTATGTCAGTTCTTTGTTCAAATTTCATTATTTCCACATAGCTAATTGCTGGTGAGAATAATACCCAATATTTTCTGGGTGCACACTATATAAGACACTATTGTGTTTTGCGTCACATACACTCCTTACTCTTTTTGGCATTCTTTTCTGTGATTACAGAAATTGAGGCGTAGTTCATTTACCCAAGGTCGTGTAGATAGGCTGCACTGTAACAGAGTGGAGCTAAGTGTGCTGGTGCACGCTTGTAATCCCACCCATTGGGAGACTTGGTGAGACCCTGCCTGGGGGGGGAGGGGGAGGGGGAGGGAGAAGAGAAGGGGAGGGGAGGAGAGCAGAGGGAAGGGAGGGGGAAACAGATCAAGGGGCTGGGATATAGCTTCGTGGTGGAGCAGTCCTGCATTCAATCCTCAGTACCACAACCAAAACGAGAAAAGAAAAAGAACTGCTGTCTTAAGTAATAAAATGGAATTGTATCTTGGCACTGTACCTTATCTACGATTTGCCCCAGCCTACATTTTTTTTTTTTTTTTGGTGCCAGGGATTGAACTTGGGACCTTGTGCTTCCAAGGCAGGGGGCAGCATCCCTACGCTAAATCTCCGGCCACCCAGCCTACAGTTTTGATCTTCTCTATTCACTCCAAAGTCTGGCAAACTTTACTGTTCCTCATATATATATCACATTGGGACCTGCATGCCTTTTTGTCCTATTCCTTCCTCGGGAAGTTTTTACACTCATACCATCATCAATGAAAAATTTATTTATCCTTCAAATTCAACTTGAAAATATTTTCTCTGTTCCTTTTCCTGATTTCTTCTTGAAATAAGTCTTCTCCCTTTTCTCTGTACCCCCATGAGCCTCTGTGCTGTTCTTATGTCACTTTTCCCCAATGACATGTTTTATAGCTTTTATGTATGTGATTAATTTTTTCATCCAGAGTATAATTTCCTTGAGCATATAGATCATGTTCAATTTTCTTTATATGTTTTACATTACTCAGAAAAGTTAGTATTACATAAATGAAATTTTTAAAAACTTGAGTGAATATCTTTTCTTTGTTTAAAAGCACTTTTGTTTGTGATAGATACAGCAAAATAATAAAAATTTAAAAATTATTTTTAAACAATGCATTTATGCATATTGTTTTCTGTGTTGGTGATACAGATACTAAGTTTTCTCCTCTATTAATTCGAAAACACTTTCATATATAATCTTTCTGGTCTGCCAATCAATACTCACAAGGTATTTAATAAAATATGTTTATTATTTTTTTAACAATAATTAAAATATTAGACATAAAGGATATAAAAGATTTTAACATCAGTGAAAATATCTTTAAATTAGAATCATATGTGATAGTAGGAGAAATAACATTTTTAAAAGGTAGTAAGCCTTTGTGGTTGGGGAATCTATAAAACTTGTGCAACATAAAATGTTTTCTTTGATTCTGGGAAGACAGGTTACAGAAACATCTGTATTACAAAAGATGCTCCTCCAAAGGCCATCCATTTCCTTATCAAATACTAAATAATAGTTCATCATATGATATGTGATGGTATGTCTTATGTAAAGAGATTCTGACAAAAAATTCTATTTGATAATTTTCTTTAGATACTGTTTGAACTATTGGATAATAAAGGAAAGATTAGAAAACAGTTGGGATTTTTCAGAGCAGAAGGCAAACTAATCCAGTCTTTGTTTTGCTTGGCACATAAGTTAATAAAATAATTGATAAAAAATTCTAAAATTCAAAAAGATTATCATTCCAACTGTACATGATTTGTTATCTTTGCAAAAAGAATTATGTAAATAATCGGTACTCTTTCAATGCAGGGATGTGCTTTGTGGCTACCTTTTATGCACCAATATCGGCAATATCCCAAGGCTTGGAGAACTGGATGGTGAAATCACATCCACTTTGGTTGTGCAGCAGGGAAAAACATTAAACTGCAGGTAATTATCCAACCATTTCATGAGAACACCAGTCATCTTACTTCCCATGTTTGCAGCTTGGGAAATGGTAAAAGGTGAGATTTCAGTTGAATGTGAAATATTATATTGTTGCTGGGGTTATGTCTAGTTGGTTGGTAAAATCCTGCAGGGTTTGTTTAATCTTACATTTCCTTCCATTAAGAAAAATGAATGGTTACTTCTAAGCAAAGTCAATGATTCAAATATATGGATCTTTTCTTTTCTCCTTTCTGAATTCCCACTTCAATGGCTAAATGGATCTTTTTGAGAGTTCGGGTATCCGTAGGAAGGTACCGAGAGGGAGAGCAGACAAGAGCAGCACAATTTTGGAATCGTTATGTTGCACGTGACATGAGAACTGAGGGGAAGCCTTGTTCCTCAGTCGGTATTGGAGAAAATTGAGATCCAGTCCAAGATACGTTGTCACTTTCCAGAGGATTCAGAAATTAGTAATATCATATAATTCTGGAAGAGGGAAAAAAGGAGTTTGGTGGTGGGGCTGAAATAAAGACAGATGAAAATCTGTTAAAGAAGCAGTTAGATAACACAAAAGAGAGCAAAATAAAAGATAAACTATATGAAACAGGGAGATAGACCTGCAGGTGGGAAGGGGATCTAGAGCTGTAGGAAGAGGAGGGCAGGAAAGGAAAGCGGAAGTACAGAGGATTGTGGTGTCATATGTATAATGTACCAACTCCTCACAATGAATATTCGTTATTCGTTGTAAGCTTGCGCTAATAAAAAAAAGGTGCCATTGTTCAATCTCCATGTGTTTATATATTTTCTACACTTTCTCTTGTTGTTGTTTTCTAGTTTTATTCCATTATGGTCTGACAGAAATGCAAGAAATAATTTTGAATTAAAATTTTTAACATCTGCTTTTGTCCTAAAATACGGTTTATTTTGGAGAAAGTTTCATTGGTAAAAACAAAAAAGCCTATTTTACAACTATTGGATTCACAAAAAAAAAGAAAACATATTTTCACTATGCAAATTTCTCCAAAATTACTCACCTATATCCTTTCGTAGGAAGCTCCTAGAAATTGTGCCCCACCAAAATGAAGGTGTAGCCGGGGATTTAGCTCAGTGGTTCTGCCACCTGCCTCACAAGCACAAGGACCTGAGTTTGATCCCTGGTATCAAAAAAAAAAAAAAAAAAAAAATTCTGATAAAATGAAGGTGTAAGCCAAGGAAGACAGATGCAGGGGAAACAGGAAACAAGATGCCCACCATGGAGATAGTACAGTCTTAAAATGGATAGTGAGGGGAATCTGAGATTTACATGTTCATGCAGGTACTTGGGGACAACCAGAACACACAGGAGCAAGTCAGAAACTCTGGGAGACATTTTCACAAGAAGATAGTATGACATTCAGCCATATCTTCAGCAGGGAGTTCGACAACCAGCAAGGAGTTTGGATTAGCTTTGAGTTAATGGTGATAAATTTTTAGAAAAATGGATAAAGGAACAACAAACAAAAGACTTAGTAACTTAAAAGAAAACAAAAAATAGTACAGGAAAAGGGTTATATCATAGAACTGAATAACATTCATGTAGTTGTAATAATGTACAAATTTATTACTGATTTAAATATTGATGAAAAAAATTTATGTGAATGGGGGAAAGAAAAAAATACATTCTCAATTTCCATACAGGGAAGTCCATAGACAATACTAAAATTGAAAATAAAATGTAGTAGTAAAATTCATTTCAAAACACGTAGTGTACATAAATAAAAGAATCAGTTAAGAGTAGAAAGTGGTTTTTCTACTAAAACTATATTGGGGTTTACTGGTTTGTATTGGGGTTTACTATATACTGGTTTACTGCATTTACAAAACCAATTTGTCTATTTGACTCTTTAAGTGATGGACCTGTTTGTTTGTTTGTTTATTTTTGGTACCCGGATCAATTTCATGACCTTGTGCTTGTGAGGAAGGTGTGGTGCCACTGAGCTACATCCCCAGCCTGGGCCTGTATAATTTTGATACAGATAAAAAGAATGGGGGTTTTAATATTAACATTCACATAGCTACGTATGATAAATTGATTATGGCTATACATGTTTTAATAATTTTATTGTTATATTTAAGTATAAATACATTGATATTCATCATTGGAAATTTGAACCTTTCCATAGTCCCTACCTAGGGTCTCTGCACACTTATCAGTGGTATCTGGATGAGCCTCTGGCTGTTGCTTGTGCTCCTATGCAGCTCTTTTCCAGGTGGGCCCTTGACTGTGGCCAATGCTATGGGGTGGCCGCTGGCTGAAGCTCGGCTATACATGTTCTACTCCTGTCCTCATTGTGGTCACATCTGTGTAAACTGTGAACTTGCTATACTGAATAATACATATTTAATGTTTTTGGAATATGTAAACCCAAACTGTTTTTCATCCTTTTCTGAAATACATTTGAAATCCTGAAATCTACTTGTTAAAATAAAATGTAGTAATTATATCTTATTGGACTTGTATATAGTAGCAATGGCAAAATAATAAAATCACTTGGATCAGGTCCTTATATTTTATATTGGTTTCTCTGAAAATAATTCGATCCAAAGATTACAATGTTTTTTTGACTTACATGTTGAACATGCTTAATGCTCCTGGCTTTTATTAAATTATAAGTGGAAATTAGAAGTGATTGCCTGCTTTCTCGTTTTTAGGCATACTGTCAAGATGAATGCAAATTAATGGAATCTTATTTTCTTTTTTGTGCCTAATCTGTTTTTAGTGGTGGGCATGTTAAGCTTGAAGAAGATATTGATCTTGGCTATGTGGAAGATGGGACACCCTGTGGTCCCAAAATGATGTGCTTGGAACATAGGTGTCTTTTGATGGCATCCTTCAACTTTAGTACTTGCCTAAGCAATAAAGAAGGCACTGTTTGTTCAGGAAATGGAGTAAGTATTCATTCAGTGCCTTGACCTGGAGAACTGTTCATTTCTTTTATATCACAGAAATAAATATAATCCTAAAATGCTTATTTCCTTAATTATGGAAAACATGTATCCATGTTTCTGGTTGATATGTGAAAACTAAATTGATCTTGGCTATTTGAATGTTTTTATTTTGTAATCTCAGAATGCTCAGGACTAAGAAAATGGGCAACTTTTCCAACAAGTCGTTTTCTTCCTTTCTTAGGTTTTTGTGTTTTCATATAATATAATGTCAGTTTTCTACAAGTGACTAGGACATACATCTTAACAAACTATAATGAGGTTTTTTTAAAACAGAGTAAACACGGGATGATGGCCACGTTATTTAATTTCTGGTATGGTCTGAGCACTGATCAATCAGAACAGACCATAATAACGGCGGTGGCTATACCAGTGCCTTCCAGTTGAAGATGAACCTTAGAAATAAGAGCAGAATACTTTAGGGAAGCAAATTTCCTACAGATGAATAGAAAGAATGGCATTTGAAAGCTTTTTCAGTGTACTCTGTGAGTTATATATCAGATAATGTAATTCATGTATGAATAAGTTTAAAGATCATTTTTTCCATTTTCAGTTAGGAATACTTGTGCTAACGAAAAGATCTTGTTCTTTCTCTTTTAGCATGTTCTATGATTTTCTTTTTATCCCCATTCTAGATTCTTTGCTTAAACTGATTGTATTATCCAGGTTGAGGTAAGGGATCCTGGCCAGTTCATGTAATGTGCCTGAGAGATACGCCAAGAAGGTATTATTAGGGAAGTAACTAGCTGTCACTCCTTGACAAAACTAGGAATTCTTAGGTGACAAATAAAGAAAAAACAGAGTAAGTAGCTGTGCTTCTGTTATAAAAATCTGCTAAATCTTCTTTCCTTAATCATTAAGAGGATTTTAGAGAAAATATTTAGGGGAGGAATAGACAAGAATAATGGAATTATTTTTTATCACTCAGGCTGATATATGAATTATCATATTTTATTCATCTGAAAATTTTGAATACAACATTCAGAAACCAAAAATAGTTGTGTCCAGTAAACATTGGTCTAATAAATTAGTAAGAGAGGAAAAGGCTCTTTTACTAATCTGATGGTAAATAGGATCCGAATAATTTACAGTAATTGTGAATGATACAGAAGTGTAACAGACTATGTAATTTTAACCTACAGTCACTTGATGCTATATAAGTTACAGAAATTAAAATGAGGAAGTAAATGTTCTTTACATACTATGTATGTATCTGGTGATTAAGCTCAGTGGCCTTGCAGACCGATGGCTTTGAATCCTTACTCTGATCCTTACCAGCTGGGTAACTTTGCACAAACTCCTTAGCTTCTTTGTGACTCAGTTTCTTCCTCTGTAAAATGGGGTTAATAATGGTGGCTAATTTATAGGGTTGTTGTGAAGAATACATGGATTAACACTTGTAAAGCACTTTAAGCAATGTGAGGAACACAGTGAGTATTCAGTAAATGTTAGCTGTGCTGTTTCTTTTGGCCACTGCAGGGTGCTCGGTTCTTGTTTTTGTGTCATATGATCTGGAAGCTGATGCTTGGAGAAGCCAGTGACCTGACTAATCCTCTGTTAAATTTTATTGTTCCCCGGGGATCAGGTGTTACTCCCTAGAAAAAATTTTTTTGAGGTAATAAAGTGAGAAATAAAATAATGAGTGTTAGGAAGAAAATACCGATAAATTTTCCAGTATCATCAAATTCTAAGCACTTAATCAGTCGTTGAACTAAGAGAAGGAAAAGTAATTTGATTTTTTAAAAAAACCACAACCTCATTCAGGGAGGAACTTTTGAAAATCTGTTCTCCTTTTGACCCTTCTCTCAATCTCAGAAATTTTAAAATGCGCCGGTTATGGTGGCGCACGCCTGTAATCCCAGCACTCAGGAGGCTGAGGCAGGAGGATCGCTGTAAGTTCCAGGCCAGCCTGGGCTACATAGTGAGACTCAGCCTCACCCCCCTCCCAACAAAAAGGAATTCTAAAATGTTATGTTGATATCACCCCAATTAGAAATTATTGTTTATTCTTCATACCTCTGGCCCAGAGAATTAACGTTGCTTTGACTCTGTTTCAGCTCTGCAGTAACGAGCTGACGTGTGTGTGCAACAGGCACTGGACAGGTGCGGACTGCAGTATCTACTTCCCTTATGACGAGGATGCAAAGACTGGAATCACTCTGTCTGGCAGCGGTAGGTGCTGACTTTGGTACTGCTGCACCATCGTCAGGAATGAGGAAAGAGAGATGGCCCTCAGTTCGCTTGTCTCAGGCTATCGCCAAACCCTGGCATCTCTTTTGCATGAAGAAAGTCTCCTGTTCTAAAGGGAGAATTTTATATCTAGAAGATTGAATACGGAAAATAGTTGAAGAACTTATTTATTTAATTTTTGGTTTTTGAGACAGGGTCTCTCTATGTAGTTGAGACTGACCTGGAACTCACTGTGTAGCCCAGGCTGGTCTCGAACTCACAGCGATCCTCCTGCCTCAGCCTCCCGAGGGCTGGGATTACAGGTGTGCGCCACCACACCTGGCTGAGGAATTTATTTTAATTGCTTTGTTATAGAGTCTCATCAGTTCTCAGCTCCACTTCTAAAGCCTGAATCAGAAGTAATAAAATATCCCTTTGAGTTCAGTCCCTGGTACTGGTGTGCGGGGGGAGAGAAGTATATCCCTGATCAAGGTACCTGGAGAGGTTTGAGGACATAGATCAGAAGTGGTGGGGAGGGATCGTTCTAAAAGCTAGGATGTCTTCAGTGGAGAAGAAGAAATTAAATGCAGATAGGTAAAAGAACTCATACCTCAGAAGTAAATTTTTTAAGTTATGTCATCATATCAGTGTTGCATGTTTTTGCATAAAATAATGCTCACGTTCTGAAGTCCACTTGCCCCCAAAGGATGAGAAAAGGAACATACTTATTTTAGTCAGTTAGACAGGTATGAAACCTAAAGTAACATGACTGTAATAAAAAACGTCACATAGTGATTAAGATTTTGGGGTCCTCAAACATAGCAATGATGAATGGTAGAATGGAGCTTGTTCCTCCTGCCAGTGCAGGGATGAAGATATTTATAGGAACACGGGGTTTAAGTGTCTTAGTGAAAGCCGTGCTGTCCCTTAGAGAAGACCGAGAAGAATACCTAAATTTATCGATACCTGTTAAACCACTGGAGAAGAAGGCAGGAACGGCAGGTGCACTACATCTTGCTGACGGAGAAGTCCAGTGACCCAAAGGCCCGTCCGGCAGCCAGAGTGAGCCTCCTACTGTCCTTCTTCCGAGGAGAGCCAGTCTCTCTTTCAGCCACCCAGCACTGCTGCTAAAGGACGCCTCAGGAGAGGAGCAGAAAAGGCCAGCGCAGAGCCGCTGTGGTGTAAATCACTGACAGCAGAATGGGCCGCGTGGTATCAGAGCCCAGCCGCAGACCTGCCTTTTGTGTGCTCCTGGTCCTTCCCTTGAGCTTGGTGACTAAGCTTTGGACTCACTGGGCCACGTTCACTGCCAGAGCCCACTCCAGCATGATGTCTCAGCCTGCCTGCAAGTGGGTGTGACTCAGCCATGCCCGTACTGAGTGCTAAGTGAACTGTGCCCTGCATCCCACCTGCCGGGCCTCTGCCTATCTGGTGGCTACTCCCTCTTGTCCCACACCAGCACCAGGCTGTAACTCATCAGCCTGCTTTCCCTCTCCAGGGTGCTGTAGCCATCTCTGCCCAAACTGGTCGTTATAAGCCCAGCAGTTTAATCATCTGTACATCTGAGCACTTTGCATAGCAACCTCTAGATGTTTGTTCAGTTAAAAAGCTTAGGTTCATTATGAGAGATAAAATAAGACACACAACCAGCAATGGTGAAGAAACCTTGCTTTAGTTGGAGTGATAATCAGTGTAACATTTTAGACTTTTTTTTGTTTTGTTTTGTTTTTTGAAGCAGGGTCCCACTGTGTAGCCCAGGCTGGCCTCCAACTCACCAGAGATCCTCCTGCTTTGGCCTCCCAAGTGCTGGGATTACAGTCATGCACCACCACGCCCGGCACATTTTAGAATTTCTGAGATTGAGAAGAGGGTCAAAAGGAACACGGATTTTTAAAAAATTCCTCCCTAAATGAGGTTGTGGTTTTTTTAAAAAAATTATTTTTTCTTCTTTTAATTCAACAACTTCATGCTTTCCAGAAAAAATATATGGGAGATAGAACTGTACAAAAGGACAAATTAAAAATACACAAAAATTTAATTGAAGAAAGTTGGTGTGGCTTGCTGAATTATGATTGATTTCTCTTTCTTTTGAAAAATACCTGTTGCTTAAAAAGCCAGTAATGTTTAATATGGTGCTTATAAATCTGGACAATACAGTTTCTGCGAGAAATTTCTATCCCTGATCCCCCTCCGTCTTTTTCTTTTCCAGGTGTTGCCGGTACCAATATCATCATAGGCATAATTGCTGGCACCATTTTAGTGCTGGCCCTCATCTTAGGGATAACTGCCTGGGGTTATAAGTAAGTGAGATGTCTCAGTGTTACTGTAAAAATATGTTCAAATATTTTGACTAAATGAAAATGTCTAGAAAGTTTTATAACGCTGGCTACATATACTTGGGTTGAACATCAGGGTTGCCCTGGGCATAGTTAGAATTAGTAAGTTTGTTTTGTTTTAGATTTTTGACACGATTCTTTTCTGTTCTGAAAGAACTGAATATCATTTTACGGTCATCACAGAGAACTAGAGCCAGCCTAAGTTAGTGACAGAGCTTCCCTAGACCCAGACTCATACTCAGCAGTCCGGGGAGGATGGTCAGTGAGGGAGCTCTAGCGTGGCTTCAGTGACCGCTGCAGCAGGAACAGGCAGTTGTGTCCATCATAGAGCAGCAGCAGCAGACTGGGCCACCTTGCCGTAACGTTCAGAATTACGAAATTGTACGCCCGAAGGGAGCTCTTCTCCGTGTGATGGTCATCTGATCTCCCCTTGCCTGGTGGGCAGGGTCGGGCCCCTCGCTAGTCGCACTATTTCCTCAGGTTTCCCTGATGCCAAACTTGCACAGTAATCAACACCACAGGCGTTGCTGCTTGGAAGTAGGCCGGGGATGTGTCTCTAGCACTGAGCCTGCCTGGCAAGCACAAGGTCCTGAGTTTGATCCCTGGTACCACAAAAATAAAGAGAGAAAGAACAAAAAGTAAAATGTGTTAAAAAGAAAGATACCGTGCTTATATTTCCCTCATCTGATGGTTCCCTAAATGAAAAATAATAAATTGGCATTTTTTTTCTTATTTTCTGTTTTTGGTTTTTTTTGGGGGCGGTATCAGGGATCGAACTCAGAACCTTGTGCTTACGAGGCAGGTGGTAGAACCACTGAGCCAAATCCCTGGCCCTCAAACTGGTATTTTTACCCTCATCTGCCCGTTCTTATGATGTGGGTAGAGTGGCAGGTCAAAGTGCCACAAATGAAATCCATGTGGACACCTTAAAATTCTGTTTATGTTAGTACTGGGGATTGAACTCTGGGTCTTTACACTAATCTGCATCCCCAACCCTTTAAAAAATGAAACTTTGTTTTTTTTTTAATTTTGAGACAGGGTCTCACTACTACCTAGCCCAGCCTGGACATGAATTTGTGACCATCCTGCCTCAGCCTCCCAGAGTGCAGGGCTTACAGGCATGCATCACCATGCCCATCTACATCCTTGATCTTTCAGTAAGGAACTCCAAATAACTCAGTTCCTTGACCTTTCTAACATGTCTTCAAACTATTAACAGTAAAGTTGGTCAAGTATGTCAAGATAGAAATTTAACTATTTTGAAAAAAAAATTGACTCACACTGCACTGCCACACCCTTTAGGACAAATTTTTGCTTAAGATCAATTTATTTTGAAAGTCATATAAGTTTATTTTAGTTTATGGTCAAATAAAAAATAGTTACACTTTGAGAAAATCTTTCTAGTGAAAAGCTCGATTGAATAAACAGTAATGACTAAGGAGGTCCATGAGAGCCATGAATTAACTTATTCTTATTTACTATACATGGTGAAAAAAAAAATCCCAGTGACCATTTCTGTTCTTGTATTTGAAATTCTTAGGATTGGCTGTAGCTGAGAAATTGTATTCCAGAAGGAACAAATTATGATTTTACTTCTGTGAAATGCAGTTAATGTGTACATAAATTGATCCGTTAATCTTATTTTATTAATTAATTCATTCATTATTTTATTAATGAATGAATTAATTTTATTAATGAATTCTATGTATCTGTAAACCAGTATTTAAAGTAGGAATGACTTTAGGCCATTATTGAGTGTTTAATATAATGAAGTTGATATGAGAGAACAGTTTTCCTTTAAGAAGTACAGCTTATGTATACTTTTAAAAGTGAGTAATTATTTGACTGTATCATCACTGACCTTTTCGTGTTACTTATCCTAATGATCACATGAATTATTTTGCTGTGTATTCGCCATGTTAATTCTGTAACTGAAAGTCCTGTTGTAGAGATCTTTCTGTGAATGCTAGAGCTCTTATGTTTAGTGTTAATGTATCTGTGGAGACACTAATTTTTGTGTTTTTCCCTCTTTCTTCTTGTTCATGAAAAGAAACTATCGAGAACAGAGGTATGTAATAAGAATAATCTGAATATATAACTAAAAGGTTTAACTCTTTTTAACATTGTTGAAAATCATAATGCATTCATAAATCAAGTTTACTTTGTTTTTATGCAAGGATGATCTTGAAATAATTTTAAATTTTATTATTTTATAGTAGCATATAAAAATTTAATTTTTTCCATCTGAAATAAACTTCCTGTATGTGAAGTTGTCATGTTTGTTTACATTAGTTTATTGGCTTTTCTTCATGTTTATAACACCCTGATTGCCTGGTATTGTCCAAGGAGATTTATTTTTTTCTCTGTTACTGTTGTTATATTAGTAACTTTACCTCATAAGTGGCAAATGTTCACTGGCTACAGTGTTGCTGTCAGGAAAGTTCTGGCACTTAGTGAACTAGTTATCTTTGTGTAAGAAAATATTTTTGTACTGATTAGGTAATCACAGGTAAAGAAGGAAATTTGTGTAATTGGAATCTCTGTCTCCTATATTTTTTTCAAATAAAAATGCCAATAGACAAAACCGGACACCTTACTGAGCATAACCTTATAGTTTGCAGTTAGCCACCGGTCATGTTGCTCTGTAAGTATCGCCCACTGTATCTAAACTTAAATTGCTCCTACTACACTATTGGGGTGCACCCTTCCTGTGACTGACCGATGATTGCTGGTACTGGAGATTGAACTCAAGGCCTTCACGTGGAGCTACTCACCTTTTATTTTTTATTCTGTGATAGGGTCTCACTACGTTGTCTAGGTTGATATAAAAATTAAAACATAAAGCCGGGCGTGGTGGTGCACACCTGTAATCCCAGCACTCGGGAGGCTGAGGCAGGAGGATCGCTGTGAGTTCAAGACCAGCCTGGGCTACATAGTCAGTCTCAACTAGATATTGAGACCCTGTCTCAAGAAACCAAAAAAAGAAAAAAAAAATTAAAATATAACCCTGGAGGCTAATTGCCCAGGATAGGTCTTGCATGTTGTACAGTATGTAGTTCTGTGCTCCAGGCACTAAGCAGAACCGATCATTAATGGAAAAAGTAAAATTGAGAGAAAATTGACTAAATTTGAAAAGCAGCTGCATTTCTTTGTGATATATTTTAAACACTTGTATTCTGAAGCAATCAAATAGAGGAACCACCACTTACACTTTCTGTGGAATAGAAGTGATTAGTCATACAAGAAATCTAAGGTCGTGGAAAATAGAATTAGGTTGATGAGATAAAAAAATTGATAATTCTGCTCTCTTTCCATAGAGGGAAAAGCTATAATGTAATTTAATACTTGAATAGATAAGAAGAAAACTAAAATGACTCAAATATGTAACGTAAGCAATACTAAAACAGTGCTGTAAGATGTGGTCTCACTAGGGATGCTGTCCAGAGTAAGGAAATTGCCCATACTATACAAAATAGTTAATATTTAAAAGTATGCATTCATTTCTCATACCAACTCATCATATGAATAGAGTTAACACATTTCACACCAAGAATCTCCTTTACTTTCCTGGTATGATCCCACATTTCTTGGTGTTGTGAAGTCATCATTTCACTCTGCTTTCAGAATCAAGTCTGTACTTTGAGAGTTACTATATCTTCAATGGATATTTGTGAACAAAAATTTGTTTCCCTCTTCTCTGTAGCTAACAAGTATTAGGTTTGTACAACCTGCAACCTTCAGATCAGGAAGTCGTGAATGTGGAAATTATCTTCCAAAGGGTATTTCTTTTTGAGAATATATGTTAGTGATACAGAGAAAGTGCTAAGGCCTGTGGACTAAAGCATGCATTAAAAAGTTTTCAGTCTTATAAAATTATTTGAATATAGAGATCTGACCAGTTTCAAAGGATGCTAGGATGTAGAATGGAAAACTTGGTGTTAGCGTTGCCCTAAAATTGGGTGTTCCTTTTAGGTGCTATGGTAGAGGAGCCAGCTTTCAAGGAAGTAGAAATATACTAATATGTGATGTTAGAAAGTCACCTAAACTTTTCTCTACTGAGAAGCCCAAGTTCTGTGTAATCTGTAAGCGTTACAGTGAAGGCACATTGTCAGTATAGTGTGTGGTCTGAGGGATACATTTCTCTGGTCACTGCGTGAGAGAGGAGAATGTCTTTAAAAGGAAGGCAGCATTCATCAACACGAAACCTACAGATACCCTTTACACCGATGAAAATGTTGGTGAACGTGAAGTTTTGCCACTAGATGCAAGGTGTACTAAAGATACAGCCTCTTGTCAGACTCGTATTAGTGTTGTAATGGCTCAAAAGTGTGAAATTTGGCATAACTTCCAAATTACTCGAGAGTACAGGCAAATAATTCAATAAATACATATGATAACCTAATCAGTGTTCCCTTTCAAGAATGTATCCATAAGGTTTTGGGGATATTGAAGGGTTGTCCTGTATATTTACTTACAAGGCTAACAAAAAGATCAAACACAAGCTGAGCTTTTCTCTTTTTTGTTCACAGCCTGCTTATTAAAAAACAGAATTAAAGCCCCATTTTGGGGCTGAACCCCACATGTCATTTCAAATAGTATCACTGTAAATCTGCCAGTGCTGTTGGGCGAGAGGCAGATTAGCTATGGGGAACTTAGACATTCGTCAGTTACAAAGATGGCTATTTATCATTTCCTTTCAAATCTCCAGGAAAGAAAACCTCCACATTTTAAAAAAGTTGACATTATCATTTATGTCATAGCATGGGTGCTTTAGGACTCAGCGGCTGTTTGGTTGTTAACAATTATAAATAGGTTTTAGTTTTCAGGCAGGTTTACAAATAGAATACGAAACTTTAGCTGAACTTCAGCTTATAAACTATCCTCATTCAGTTGCAATCTTTTTTCTTTGTCTGAAATGAACGCATCACTATGACTAATGAGAAATACAACATTTTAGGTCGTGTCTTTCTGATCTGTGGTTTTACCTGAAGTGGAATCTCGTCCCCTCCTCATTTCTTTTCTCACTTGCCTGTTTTTGCCACTTTGTTTTCTTCTTATTTCCACTGTTTTCAAGCCTTCCTTGGTTTCTTTTTATATTACTGTTATTCCAGTAATATTCACGCATCTCTCAGTGTGACTCAGACCACTTATAAAATATGTCTTAAAACAGTAAAGTAACTTCTAATAAAAGACAGCCTGGATAGACAACAACAAAGCACTGGATAAATATTTTCTCAGCACTAGGATTAAGACTTGGTTACATTTTTTCACATTCTGAATATATCTAGGGATTATGCAAATAAATATAACATTTTAATGGATACTTTTAGGAAAGATCAGATTTCTCTCATAATAAGGTCAACCATTTGCCCAGAAGTTTCTGAAGTCTCCAAGAAAGTCTTTTTATTATTGTTGTCTTGTTTTTTTAACACAGTGTCTCACTGTGTAGTGCAGGCTGGCCTTGAACTCTGAGATTCTCCTGTCTCAGCCTCCTGAATGCTGGGATTACAGGCGTGCACTACTGTGCTCTGTTCCAAGAAATAGTCTTCCTTAGTGTTTAAATTTATAATGCTCTCGTGCAACAACTAGATGACTTGTAATTATGCACACAGTAAGCATTAGACTGACTTAATCTGAAGTTGAAAAAGAACAAACAAGCATTGAACATAGACCTTCAGAGAAGTAATAATTGCAGTTTGTATCATTCGGCTCCTCCAGAGCCATTAAGTTATAAGAGTTGGTCCTTGACTTAGATACATAGAATAATTTCAGAAGAATGTCATTAAGTGAGATGTATTAATTCAGATCAAAATAAGTTTGCATGGGAAGGAAAAAAAGACAACCTGTAATTAATGTAGGAAGGGGTAGTTTTAAGGAAAAACAAGTCACAGTGGATTTTTCCTTTGGGATGTTCTTTACAAAAATATGTACATGTTGTGTTGGTGGTATAGTGGTGAACATAGCTGCTTTCCAAAAATACGTACATTTCTAAAATAGTTGCGTATAATGTGAGAAACAGGCAATTTTCCTATTATAAAGTTTAGCACTGGTCAGGCCACTTAGTGTGCTAGTTATTTTCAGGCTCCAAATTTAAGGAAATGTGAAAAATACTCAAAATTTAACACCCCAAAACAGTAAAGGTTTGGAAAAAGAAGAATGAAGAATTTTAAGGGTATCATTTTGTTGGCCTTTTATGATGTTTCATAAGAAATAATGAAATGTTATTGTATTGATTATGGGCTCCTAATCATCTTTCTTTCTTTCTTTCTTTCTTTCTTTCTTTCTTTCTTTCTTTCTTTCTTTTTCTTTTTCTTTTTCTTTTTTCTTTCTTTCCTTTCTTTCTTGTACTGGGGATTGAACTCAAGTCCTTTGCTTGTGAGGCAGGTGGCAGAGCCACTGAGCTAAATCCCCAGCCCCTGATCATCTTTATCTTCACTACAGCAAGAAACATTTGTTTAATATGTAGTAAATATTATAAAAGTGGATAGTGCAAGATGTTAAATATTGTTAACAAATTAATAATCTGTCTTTAATATTTGCTATGTAAAGAAAGTTGCATCCATTCCTTGTAGTATTTCCAGGAGGATGCAGACAGAAGTAGTTTCTATATTTTGGACACTTTCCAGGAGAGATAGGTAAGAGCCTAATCCTGCCAGGCTGATAAAGTGAGGTGCTCCAGAAGTATCCTGAACTGCACTTTCCAACACCTTGGCTGAAATCCGCAGATTGTGTTAAGCTGCGCATTTAGGGTGTTTTACACTGTGTCAGAGATGACTGTGGACTTCAGAGAAGTTGCACTGAAAAGGTTGTAAGTTACGTTCCATTAAAAGTAATAATAAAAGAGCTCCTCTGCTGTGGGAGGTCGTCCCTGCGCACCTACTGTGTCAGCTAACCGAGGCATTGATTTGAGGCCAAGATAGAGGCCCAGATGCCTGAACCATGCAGAGATGGCTGATTATCATTTCCTTTTAAATCTCCAGGAAAGAAAACCTCCACATTTTTAAAAAAGTTGACATTATTGTTTATGTCATAGCATGGGTGCTTTAAGACTCAGCGGCTGTATAGTTGATAACAATTATAAATAGGTTTTAGTTTTCAGGCAGGTTTACAAATAGAATAAGAAACAGCAGTTTATAAACTATCCTCATTCAGTTGAAATCTTAAAGTGTGATTCTGAGCTCTTACGTAGTAGCTTGTCTTTATTAATTTGAATTTGTTGAGATGTACCTTATCATATATTATTAATACTATAAATGTAGAGGCTTATGTTCATATAAAACCAATATACCATAATAACTGGTAAAAAAAAAGGATAATCATGAGTTGAATTCAGTCATAGAATTAAAATACATATTGTGTAGGAGCCTATATCAAAGATCTGTGGGTAGAACTGTCTTACAGATTAGTGGTAAATTCCTTAATTAGAGAGGATTAAATCACAGATTAAATGCATGCTTTATATCCATTGAAAATGTTTTTCAGATTCATAGCACTGTGTAAATGAATAGCATTGAAATAATATGAGATTCAGTCATTCAGAAGAATGATGATTAAATATTTTAAACATTTACAGCAACTCAAGAATCAATATGAATGAGAAGATATGGTAAAGTGCCATTTTTTGGGAAAGATTTAGCACTAGCAAATAACCACGATTATCATGGTAATTGAAGAGAAACCAAATAGGAGGAGGGATTATTAGCATGCAAATTCTTCTGTTGGAGACCTGTGTGAATATGGCTCGGTTTAAAACTCGCACGGAATGGACGGGTCCGATGTTTGATGCAGTTGGCTGCTGGAGGGCCACTCGCTGACAAATGACCACGTTAGCTGCTGTGGGTGCCGACTGGAGCCACTGTATAAAGTTCCTACCTGGGTCCCTTAGGGGAAGTAAGAAAAGTCTGTGCCAGCCTCGTTCAGTGAGCAGAGGGGGATCAGTGCCAGTGCAGAATGAACAGAGTGCCACTTGCTGTGCTCTCAGGAAAGTGGAGCCAAAACTGAGGTCACCTCCGTACACCCAGAAATGCCCTTCCAGAGTTTCCACAGCCCTTTCTCTCCTCCTTTGGGTAAATTATCTTCCTTTTCATAATACATTGTTGATTAAAATTACCGTTTTGACTCAACTTGGAATCTTCTTAAATTTCTTCACATTCATATGACTTTCAAATAAATAATGGTACTCCAAATTGAGCACCAAACTAATAATTTGGATTACCTTAGAAATCTCTCAATTAAAAAAAAAAACAGTTCAAGGTTACATTCAGTGTATAATGTTTAGAAATTAGAGTATATTCACTGCAATGGAAAAGAACTGCTTTATCCTAACCCTTCTTCCACATCATTTTTAAAATTTTATTTTTATTTTTATTTTATTATTATTTTTTTGAGACAGGATCTCATTGTTTAGTTGAGACTGACCTGGAACTCACTATGTAGCCCAGGCTGGTCTTGAACTCACAGTGATCCTCCTGCCTCAGCCTCCCAAGTGCTGGGATTACAGGCGTGTGGCGTCACACCTGGCACATCAGTTTTTTTGAAAGAAAAAACTACAGTTAACATTTCCAATTGTAATGAAGTACAATTAACAAAACTCATCTTTCCACATTTCCTCCCCACAGTTCAGCCTTCTCCCAATCTGTAAAGATGTCAGTAATTGTATTTCTGATCTCTACAGTTAGAATGACTGTAACTTGTCACACTTATTAATCAACTTGTCTCATTTATTAATAATCTTCTGTGTTGTTACAGATTTGACTCACATAGATCATTACCCGTACCTCTTTTTCCTGAAATAATATTTGTATATGTCTGTGTTCATGTGTGTGTCTTGTTTTCTGACTCTGAAATGTTTATTATGCCTTAGACAGTTACCCCAGGGAGATTATGTAAAAAAGCCTGGAGATGGCGACTCTTTTTATAGCGACATTCCTCCTGGAGTCAGCACGAACTCCGCATCTAGCTCTAAGAAGAGGTCTGCCTTTCTGTCGCATTTTCAGATTTCTACCTGTTCCATCCCACATTATTCCATTAGTCAGAACATTTCATTATTTTGCAGCAGGTTTGATTACTTCTTCCTTCTTTCTTGAATGTTAAAAAATAGTATCCTTTGTTCTTTGATTACTCTACTTCAGAATGCCATATGCTCAGAACCACTTGCTATACAAATCAGGCCCCAAAATTGAAACAAAACAAAACAATTTAAATCTGCATAGAAACCCCAGGGTATTTTAGTCTTGCTCTTATAAGGCTTAAGAAACTAAGCATAGTATTGTAATAATATTTTCAAATGGTGAGCTTTATGTCATACTTGGTAGTCAAAGAAAAAGGTTACTGTCATGCTTCAATAAAAGCAGTTAAGATAAATTGGTAATATAAATGCTGTCTTGAATTTCTTTAAAACTTCATGTATATCCAAGTTAAGCTTGCTGTGAAACAGATTGCTTCTCTGTGAATCATGTATTTGAATATTATGATTTTGCATTTTTTTCTGGAATGACTATTTGGAGATGTCATGATTTACACCTTAGTTGATGAATTAATTTAAGTATGTTTAATATTTGCCTGAGTTTTATAATAGTAAGGTAAGATTAATATAGTATTTATATGTCTTAAACTTTGATGACATATTCTTGTTCTAGCATCGTAAGGTGTTTGGCACCACTTAAAATATTGCATGCTTTATAATTACAGTAAATAGAAGAAATAAATAACTGGAATATTTTAAGGAGTAAGAAGTGTATTTGTATTGAAGGAAGCTAAAATATTCTGATGGGGAATTTCTTTAAAGTTGCTGATAGGGGTATAATGGAGAGGAATAAAGTTTTGGTCACCCCACAAATGAGTCTGGGCACATCCATTATTTTGCACAGTGAGGAGATGTGCTAGGTTATTAAGTGGGAACATGGTCTCTCCTAGTGGCTGAGATGGATCACCTGTAGGAATTCTGCAGTGATGCTCACTTAGTCTTTATGAATGTTAGGAAGGAAGGAGAATAGAAGGAACTGATGAGATCTGGGAATTCTGCTTTCTGTGGAAGTTTGTTAAGCATAAAGGACAGCTTTCACTTAGATAATACAATTTAAAGCAAAAACAGAAGTACTAGTTTTGGGCCTATAAAAACGTGTTTAAAACATTGCTTTAATTTATTGAGTTTTTTTTTTTTTTTTTTTTTTTTTTTTTTGAGAAAAAGAGTTAGGGAGTTTTTTTTTTTTTTTTTTTTTTTTTTGCTAGGAAAAGATGATGAGGAATCTAGTTGAATTCTCTTATATAAATATTGCCTTGGTCAAATATAAAAATTTTAATTGCGTATGACAGTAAAAAAAAGAGAAATAAGTGGGTTCCAGCAGAATCTGTTATCATTTCTTACAAAGCAGAAGCCATTCTTTAAGTAGCAAATGATGTTGGAAGGTTCCAGCCTGGGGCATTAATATGTAACGGTTATTCTGAGTTCCATGTGCTTTTACTCATTAATAAATTCTTTTAAAAATAGATATCATTAGCAATTAAACACAATGTTATGTGGAAAAGATTTTTAAGTATAGTGCTGTTTTCTAAAATAGTTAAAAAGAGCTTAAAATATTTCTTCAAATAATTAAAAACATTTTAAAGAGTTGTGATTTTAGCCAGTTAAAGATTTATCAAATCATTAGAGTTTTAAGTATGTGCAGTTTGTCAGATTTGTTTTGCTATGGGACACAAGGTAGGTGTGTAGAGTTTGCTTCTTGTAGACAATTCATTTAAGCTGGTAGGACAGGGCCGAGGGCTCAGTGGTACATGGGCTTTGTGAGAGCTGTTTCCATGACAAATTTCCATCTTGTTCAGTTCAGCTATTGGACGATTAACCAACCTGTACTTTACTTCTTTGGATCATATTTGTGGAGAAAAATGCCAATTTTTTGGAAAATAATGTTATTTAAGAAATCATAAATATTACCTTGATAAAGATGAACCTGGTTCAGTTGAACAAATCTTATTATTATCTCTTGGAAGTCCATGTTCTCATAATATTTGAATGGAAGCCATTGCTTTACAATTAAGAAACATCTATGGTGGGACCCCATTATAACTCTGTGGTTGGGCTTATGTAACTGAAACACAGTGACTTTGCAACCTGTACTTGCTGTGTTCTGGGGAGTATAGATTGTCTTGAATTAAGTCCTGGGAGTTTTGATTTATGGAATGTTGTAATGGGGTTCCATTATATTTGACTTTTCTTAAATTGAATGTTGTGTAATTCTGCCTTCTTCATGAAGATGTTCATGTTCTTTTCATTCTTTCATTTCAGATTTTTTTCTTGATTTATTTAATGCACAGTGATGCTTATAAGTTTTGCATAATGATTTCAAAACATCCATTTGATTCCATTTTGAACAGTATAAAACATATTTTCAATTTCAGGTCAAATGGCCTCTCTCATTCTTGGAGTGAAAGGATTCCAGACACAAAACATATTTCAGACATCTGTGAAAATGGACGGCCTCGAAGTAACTCTTGGCAAGGTACAGGGCAGCACTGTGACTCCATCTGTGGGCATAACCCAAGTTCTGTATTCTGTGGTCTCTGGGCGGAAAGACACAATTATTCCTATAAGCTCTCTAACTCTTGTCCCAGTAGAGAGGAGGGTATTTGGAGTGAGAGTCCAGTGTTCATTTTGTTTTGTTTTGTCTTTCTCTTATTGGATGGGCAGTGGTGGGCTTTGGTAGCACTAGTATGTCATTTTGCTCAGGTTTGTACCACTCACTGCTTCCCAAGAACATGGAAGACAGTCATCTTTGGTTAAGGCAAACAACAGCAAAGAATGAATGTATTCAAAGAAGATGGGAGGGCCTCTTACCTGCCTCAGATCATCACCTTCCCTTGCTAGTTGTATAAGAACTTTTATTGTAAGGAAGAGAGGGGAGAAATATAATAATGTCACAGACAAGGAAATTCCTGTGTAGTTTTATCTACCCTATCATTCTTGGAGTTTTCCCTCCCTTTTTCCTCCAGGGGAGAAGGAGACCAGCCAGACCTCCTTACTTCCAGACAGGGATGTTACTTCTTGGTCCATTCATCTGCGCCAACAAGAAGAGGGGCTGACTGTTCATGCCGCTAGCATGAAGAAGTTTGAAAGGAGCTTTTATATTTAAAAAAGTCCTGCAGAGTGTACTGGTGTACACATGTAATCCCAGCACTCTGAGAAGCTGAGGCTGGAGGATTCCAGGCAGGAGGACCCCAGCCTAGAAAACTTAGTGACTTCATGAGTCCCGTTCTTAAAATAACAAATAAAAAAGGGCTAACTGTGTAGCTCACTGTGAAGGACCTGGTTCAGTCTAGGGTGGTGAAATGCCATGTAATTGTGCAATTACGTATTTATATGGAAATCTGGCTATAAACCATCTTTTCCAGGTAACCTGGGAGGCACCAGAAAGAAAATCAGAGGCAAAAGATTTAGACCTCGATCTAATTCAACTGAGTAAGTCTGAACCTCTAGTAGAAAAAGGCACTCCAAGGTCCTTCCTCGCACTTAGTGTCAACTGTTCATTAAGCAGATAGACAAAGGAACTGGTAAACCATGCTTCTGGTCTTGGTTTTTGTCTCCTTAATGCATTTTGCTCTTTAAAAATTAACCATGACTTTTCTCTTTCACATAGGCATCTCCGCAACTGTACCCAAACCAATACTCACTGACAGTGGGTTTCACCCTTGCTGCAGGCTTTCCGTCCCGTCACCTGCCATTGTGGTGTCTTGGTTCCCTCCAGAGGGAATTTTGATAGCACCCCTTTCTTCTCATCACCTGGGGTCCAGCCATTTCAAGGGGCCACCCTACCTCTCTGCCCACTGCTCACGCAGACCGGAAGCATCAGGGAGACTCCCTGTGCCTTAGAGCATGATGGTGCTCGAGACCCCAAACCACTGCTCTGAGGTCTTCATGGCTGTGATCTAAGCATTCTCTCAGACTAGGTGATAAGTTTCCCTTTGAAAGGCTCCTTCTGAGGACCTTTAAAGGGTCATTGACCTAAACTTGCTCTTTAACTGAATCATTGTCACTAAATGCAGCACTACTCATTTTAAATGATAGCCACTTTTCTTTAAAAGTGGAAGTGGGCTGGAAGTTATAGTTAAAGTCTTTTCTAATGAAGTAAACACCCTGTACTTTTCTTGGACTGTTACTCCAACTTAAGAAAGCACCAGTAAAAGCCTCCTCAAACCTTTATCTCCCACTCATGGAAACAAACACACCTTCCACATCCTTTTGGACTGAACTTGCCACCTGGTTTTAACTAACTGAACTTTTTAATGCACCTAAGATTTTTCCACTTATTGCTCACTCTAATGGTATCATTTGCAGGGTCTTTATTGCTTCTTCATGCCTTAATACTTAAAAAGTCTAAATAGCAGGTGTTTGTTAACTGCTTGTCAGAAACTTATGTTAGCTTTACCATCATGTATCCTGCCTTTTTCAGTCCAGGAGTAATAACATTGCCCTGAAATTTGGACCTTCCACCTGAATGGTATTGTCTTGTAAGTGGCTTATCAAAGTTTATTAGAGGATACTTTACCTTAGAAACAATAAACGGTTTCAAGTGATAGCATTGCATGGTCCAGAATGGCATCATAGAACTTCATCATAAATAGCTAATCAGTTAGAGTTTATCTTACGCGTTCCCAAAGCACTTGGATGCTTTCGGGGTCATTGTTGATAAACTCTCGTGGAATGTTATTTGATTTGTTTTGCATGAGGTCACCTGGTAAGAGCTCCTTAGCTTATTTCAGCTGCACATAAGGAAACAGGTGAAACCCCGAATTGTTCTATAGAACTTCCTTTGTGTACTATTTAGTTTTGAATAGCAAGATGTTGACAATTCCTAAGTGGGAAAAAGAAGTACAGTAGTATGTTAAAGTTATTAGTTGAGGACCCAGAGAACATTTGGTATTGAACAATATTCATACAGTATTTTCTGGGGCATTCACTTATTTAAAATTTTGTGTATAATTTCCACTCACATCATGTGCTAAAAATAGCCTTGAGACAGTTAAGTTATAATACATATAAGAAATATTTAATAAGACATCCTAAAAGTATCATCTTAGAACAGAGAAGAATTAAGAATTTCTGCAGATTTTTTCAGACTTCTGAGTCTATTCCATGACTTGTATAAGTAAATGGAACACTATTCTCACATACCACTAGTCTCCTATACCTTCTGGGACAGGGACTGTTTCTCTCTCTATACATGCATTTTTATACTTTTAAAAAATACGGATTCCGAGGCTGGGGATGTATCTCAGTGGGAGAGTGCTTGTCCAGCATGCCCTTAGTTTGATCTGTAGCACTGCAATAAAAATGATTCCTAATATATGACATGTCAAGACTTACGTTGGCACATTTTTAAGTAATCTCATTCACTTCTGATATAACAGTACCATTTATATGACTAAAAAAGGAGCAAAATGACCACAGGAAAAGGAATCTTTGATTTTTATTTTTTTTTAATGATAGGAGGTGTTTCAGGTCCATTATCTCAACATTGCCTTTGATATCATCCATGTGGGTGATGAAAATTGGGACTTGAATGACAACATGCACCATAATGCATGCTTTGCTAATTAACAAAATAAAAATACCCTTGTTTGCTGTACTGTTTTCCCACTCAGAGCTTATATATCTTCCTCACTGTTGTACATGATATGAAAGAGCCTCTTGGCTTAGACTCTGTATTATATATTGTGTTTTTACAGGAGGGAGCCCCAAGCACCTGAGCCTGGGCACTCCCTCGCCCAGACAGTCCTATCCCAAGGCATAAGCCCAGGGGGCTCTGACAGCCCCCAGACAGGGAGTCTGGATCACAGGTCAGTCTCCACCTGCCCCTTCATTCTGGGCTGCCACTTAATCTCCCTCCAAGTCCCTTCCTTGGCTGAGCACAGGGTCACTGGATCTTTGACTGAGCCTCCATGTCTGTTCAGAGGTGCTCGTGGTCCTCTTAGCACCAGCTAATATTCCTCTGCCTTTCCCTCCTGGAGAACATGAAGAGCTCTCCTATCCCGTCTGATGCATTTTTTTTGCATGTTGCGCTACAAGCCAAGTCAAGCCACACAGGGTTGTTGATGTTTGATAGAATCCCACCACTCTGGCCACTATGAAGTAGAGATGTCAGAAGTCCACTCTAAAGACCCTTTCCTGGGCAGGATCCCAAAGGGAGCAGCAGTTCAGAGTTCCCTTCAGTGGCTCTGTGAAGTGACCCCAGGCTTCCCTAAAATGCAGGAAAAGGCCCCTCAAGTGCAAGTCCAGCCAGGTGGCTGTAGCTTTTCGTGGAACAGCCGTGACACCAGTGCTTTGATTTTCTGAGCTACTCAGTGAAAGGAGTAAATGTTTTCTCCAGAAAGTGGCCATCTGCCTGCAGGTGATTCTGTTTTGCTGTGGCTCTGTCTCACCTGATGACAGCTGCATGGGCTTTTCTGCAGTTTTCCCCAGGCCAGAGCTTTCACTGGCCTTCATCAGCGGCTGCACTTGCTTCTTGACTTTTTCTTTTTGTTCAGTCTCAGTCGAAGACTGCATAAGGATTTCCACTATCTCTGAAAAGTACAAGTTGGCAATGATTGTGGCTGAAGGCAAAATTAGTGTGAGTTGTTCCTAAATCAGGCAGTTATCATAGCAAAGATGATCTTTTAACTCTGAAAAGTCCTGGTGTGGTGTCACCCACCTCCAATTCCAGCACTTGGGAGGCTGAAGCAGGAGGGTTACTGTGGGTTGGAGGCCAGCCTGGGCTACATAGTGAGTTCTAGACCAGCTTGGAAGCCTGGAATACATAGCGAGACCCTGTCTCCGAAAAATGAATATAAATAAAAAGTATTTTTAAAGGATAAAAAGAAATAAAGCCCCCTTTAAAAAGAGCAAATCATGATGTTATTTTGTAGGGTTCTTGGTTATGGCTAATGATGAAGGAATAGGCTATGGAAAAATAACCTGATTTTAAAAATATTACTGTGGAAATGTAGTTTTGATTTAAGTATATTTACAAATGGCTTAAGGCTACAGAAGGAGGAAAGGAGCTAACTTTAACTAGAAACAAATAATGCATTTTATAATTTTCCCTGGTTTGTCTTCCATGTAACTTAAACTGTGTAGAGCTTGGATCTTTGTTGCCTATATTGTTTCTAGAAATTACTTTTTTTAAAAATGAGAAAGCCCAGTAAAACCTCCAAATTCTTTCACTGCTGAATTTATTAAACCTGTGTTGTTCTCGGGCCAAAGTCCAAGGACATGTGTTCTTACTTGACTCTCAGGGTAAAAAATCAAAGGAGACTCTGTAGAAAAATAACAGCCACACCTCCCATTTTACTGCCTTCAAAATCTGCACGGTAATCCTGACCGAGACATCGCTAGATGCGCCAGGGAGATGCCCACCGAAGTCACTGTTGCTCTCTGGCAGTCATTTCCTCCGTTCATGATCAGATTCCTGGAAGGCAACTCCTGAGGGCCGTTTCCTAACAGCGTCATGAGCCTTTAGTCCGGAGGGCACCAAAGGGAGGAAAGAGCACTGCTGCGGAACTGCAGCCTCAATGTCCTGGAGCCCTGTTTAGACTGAGCTTCCTGTGTCTGGGCCTCCCCCATCCAGAGGGGACCTCTCTGCTTCTCCCCCAGCTGACGAGAAAGTACTGAGTGTGACCCCAGCTTGGGTTCCGCTGTAGGGAGTGAGACAGGAGCCATGTAAAAGCTGCCTTCTTGTACTGAAAAGAAAATTTGCTTTTTCAAGTTGTTGTTTGTGTACCCAAATGACAGATTGGAATTGCAGCCTCCTGAATGTTTTCAGAAAGCACCAGTACCATTTTAAAAAACAGTCAAATCAGGAGTGGCCTGGGAACAGGCACTTCGGAGGTGGGTGAATGGGAGTGTTTGAAAGGGAGTTCAGATTTGTTTTAGAGGCCACTGGCAAAGGCCTTCCCAGAGCTGTTGAATTCGTTCTAGGATGCCTTGAGCCTTGTTGTAGCTGAGGTTATTCTCAGGCTATTGTGTGTATAGATATATAGATACATAGATATATATAAGCTGCTTCACAATCACACGATGTCCATCTGGTTTATTTGCCATAGTCACGTGCATTTGGAGGGTGAAGACATCCTTGCTAAGCTTGTGCTGTGTATTTCAGATTTTCTATCTTGTTCTGCTTTCTTTGTTCCTTTCATTGCTTTCTGCAGGTATTTAAATCCATGGTTCAAAAGAGACTATAATGTAGCTAAGTGGGTAGAAGATGTGAATAAAAACACTGAAGGACCATACTTTAGGTATTTTATAAATTAATTTTATATCCTTTTCAAACTCTCCCAGCACATACAAATTCTGTACTGTGATTGGCTCTCTCCCTTGTATCTCCTCATACAAGTTTTATAGATGGAAAAAGGGTCCTGTTTCTTTGCTGCCATTTGAAAGGGTTGCCATCTAGTGCATGTCCCTATTGCCGTCTTAAGCTTTTTAGTAGCTTCCTCTTCATTTGATGCTATGTAACATTCTCTGGGCATGAAACATACCTTCACTAATACAGAAGCACTATTAACCTCAGTAGTTTAATTTCTAGATCCAACATCTTCACATTTTCTTAATGCATTTTTCCTACTTACTGCCTAAGAGTGCATAGTACATACGAAAACTCAAAGAGAACACATGAAAAGAAGCTAAATAAACTATACCAAATTTTACATTCAGTAAAAACTGGGATTTTTCCCTAACTAGAAGAAAAATCGATGAGTGTAGGTTTTCTTTATTCACTGTAACCATTTGCTACCAGAGAGGGGCTATGCCAAGAGGAGTGCTTTACAGCTTTTCAACAAAACAATTTTCACTGCTAATAAAAAATGTTGTCTAACACTTCACATAGAAAAGGAAGCACAAAAGAAACATGCTTTTGACACAGAGAAGACCAGCCCTACATTTTACAAATTATTAAATTTATTCAATTTGTTGCAGCTCTGTATAACAGAGGTCAGAGGAAATTTCTAAGAACTCTTAATGGCATTTTTTCCCTCACTCTTTGGAATAACAAAGAGGTTTCCTAGAGGTAAATGTCCTCTTTATATCTAACTACTTTGCGACCAACTCATGTTGAACATAATTTAACAGTGAGCTTTCGTATTGTTGCTGTGACTGGGGTCAGCATTGAACAGAAACCAAAGTGTGTGTGTGTGTGTGTGTGTGTGTGTGTGTGTGTGTGTGTGTGTATTAATTCTCAGCACCCATAGAAGGCGGACTTTCTCTTCCAGTGTACCATTTAGTTTAGTCATGTACAGTTTGAGAAAATGATTAGACTTAACTTGCATTTTAATTTGATCCATAACATTTGCATATACCCCGAGGAAAGCATAACTCCTGCCTGCTCACAAAAATATGCCCTGCTTTTATACCCAGCCCTTCGCTCCCGCCCTGTCCTCTGCTTCCCATCCTTCCCTACACTGAACCCCACGCACAGACACTCACATTCAAACATCCCACCCTCACCTGTAGCTCCCAAGATGGCCAGCGTCAGGAAGACAGGTAAGATGATTTTGAACGCTACTTGGATTGTGGCTCACCTGCAGTTCTGTTTCTTTCTATTTTACTCAGGCTTGTGGGCAGATTGTAATTTGTACTAGCCATGGAACCAAAACAGAACAACTTTGGTCCTGTGTGGGTTATGGCTTTTGTTCCTAAATGGGACTTAGCATTTTTACAGTAATAATTTGGGAAGTAGTACCCCAGAAGAGTCAATTCCCCTCCCCTGGGTGAGCTGAGTAGTTCTTGTGGCTCCCAGAGAAGAGTTCACATCTCTTAAAATCAGCACCCAGGTCTGCCCAGAAGCTGCATGACTCAGAACAGTTTGGATGGGGAAATGCTTTGGCACCCCTGGTTGCACGTGCAAAGCTGCAAGGGCAATTTTAGAGGGTTCTTCTATCTCCTCTTTTAATGTGAGATGTTGATTCCTATAATAGGCACTCCCATTAAGAATTATTTAAAATTCCTATATTTGCTTAGAGCTGAAGCTCATTGGACAGTTAATAATTTAACTGTCCTTTGGGGGAATAAGGATTAAGCTGGTAAGACTTGAAAATCAACTCAGAATTTCTGTGACGGTGATGGCTAATCGAGGCAACCAGAGCTTTTAACACCACGATAGTAGTACAACAGAGAAATTCTTCCACTTTTCGTTCAAGCCGTATCTCCCTGAGGAGGCCTGAGGTGCACCGCACAGTGTGTCTAGTGCTCTGCCAGCCCTCTGCTTAAGCTTGGAACAGCTTCCTTTACCACCAGGTCATTCAGAGCCCCCCGTCCCCCCTCAAAACACCAGTAAAGGCAGAGGTCCTCTTAGTCACCCACACGGTATTGGGTTTGTGGCATTTTATCAAAATGTGATGGGGACTTCTGTGACTACAGTAAAGTGGTCCAAAATAGGCCATAGCATTTAGGGTGTGGTATCCACGTCACTGTGACAGGTGAGGCAACGCTTACGGTTCACAGTGAGCAGGTGGCCTCCACTGTGCCCCTCACCCTGCTTTCCTCCGACAGTGGTCAAGTTGTCCTCAGCCATCAGGAAGGAGCAGGTGAGAGCATTGTGTCACCGCCCTCAGAGCCTGAACAAGGTCTGTTGGTGGCACTGCTCTGCACAGGCTTAGAAGGTGTCCTTAGCCCTGAGTGTTACCTCGGGGATCGCTGACTTGATCAGTGGTTCGTATCGTTTTCATCTTCTTCTATTTCTGTTTTCCTGTAGTGACTCTGAAAATAGATTATTAATAGCAGCTGTCACATGCCAAGTGCCCACTGTGATCTTTATGTCTCATATCTGCAGATGTAGATATGCAGATGTAGGTATTGTTATTCCTTTGCTGTGCTTCAGAGAAATGGAGGCACAAATTATACTTGAGGGAGTATAATTAGTATGTGTTAGAGCCGGAATTGCTGGTGGTTGACTGACCTCAGTGAGTTTCTCTCTCTCTCTTTTTTTTTTTTTACTATATTTTCTTAAAAGTAGTAGGGTGGATGCTGACGCTTAAGTCCTCTCTGAGGCCCTTAAGTCCTGGCTCAGACTGTGTAAAAGTCACACGTGAACACGAGTGAATGAGCAGTGACTGGGTCTCCTTCATGTGACTGTCTGCTTTTAGTTGTCCTGGGTGGCAGAGCTGAACTGAGATTGTCTTAGAGGCCTGTCTGCAAAAATAGAAGCACAGATGCTGGGCGTGGTGGCGCACACCTGTACTCCCAGCACTCGGGAAGCTGAGGCAGGAGGATCACTGTGAGTTCGAGACCAGCCTGGGCTACACAGTGAGTTCCAGGTCAGTCTCAACGACACAGAGAGACCCTGTCTCAAAAAACCAAGCTCAGAAAATCACACATCTCCATCTCAAGATGCAGCACAACCCATGGACACAAAAGCACACCTTTGTTGTGTAATTCTGATTTCAGCTAGTGCCATTGATTAATGATTTTTAAAAATGTAATAACGGCTGGCATTTATGCAGAGATGCACTTTACTTTGTAAGTGAATGGGCTGGGCTGCTTCCTGGCTGTAAGTGAAAGCCATATTGGAACTGAGTGTCTTCCTTGGACATTTACGAGAAACAGTGGGCCTATTTTCTGTAAACTAATTCACCCTGCCCTGTTCTCTGTTTTTATTTTTAGTCCTGCTGTAACCTTCGTCCCCCCACCAGGACCTCCAACTTCCTTCTTCCTTTTAGCGCCAGGAGTGTCAGTTAACGAGTCTATTAATGTAAGACGCAGTATAGTTCAGTTTGGGGGTTCTAGAGCAGACCTCCTGCTGTGGTTTCCATTCACTATTGGCTTTGCTTAAGAAGGGTCCACAAGGGAAGACGGGTCCCTGCGCTGCTTACCAGACTGGCTCTGTCCTTGGACGTGGCCGGTCGGTGGGATCTGTGGCTGCATAGCCTGATAGGTAGGGCCAAGAAGCTGTGAGCCAGCAGCTGCTGTGTGTGATGGACACAAGTATCACAGCTGATTAAAAAGAGGACTTGGTTGCAAAGTAAATGAGGCTTGGTTATGTGTTTGGGTACTTAACTAGCTTTCCTGATCAGAATCTATTGCTGGATTTCTTACCGGTAATGTTTAGGCTAAAATGCTGAACCCAAGGTAATAGCCTTCCTTTTAGAAAGATGGATTAAGTACTTAAATGCACAACTTGTCCTCGTTTTATACATAGGAGATCTTAGTCCTTTTGAAATGCAGTACTAAGGTAAAGGAGATTAATTTCTGAATTGGACAGCATTCAGTGTGTGTTGTTTTGCTAGAATTTTAGAGCATTTGGAGTACCTAACATCCTTTTAGAACTACCCTAGATTATTAATGTAGATTAAGAATGTTCACTTAGATCTCAGAGCTGGTAGGAAGAGAGATTTTCAAAATGTAGCTTGAATTAGTGTCTAAAATAGCAGTGAGCTTGAAAACGATGGCAAAACAGAGCCGTAGGTAGCAAATAGACGAGAACCAGAAACGGGGTCGCCAGTGGAGCTCGTCCCACTCCACGTCACTGCCCCGCTCCACCTTCCCAGGGACTCAGTCAGTGCAGAGCTGCCTCCTCCTGGAGGAAGGACCTGTGCTGCGGTGTGGCGATGTGGGTTTTTACCACCTTGTACCAGGAATTAAGGAGTCGGGTGTGAAGGACAACGTTTGGGAAGGGACAGCTGTTGGATTATTGATAGGTTCCAAGTGGATGTTACCAGCAGGCACAGCCTCTTCTAGCTGCCCAGTGCAGTCATGTATCAGCACACAGACACGCGTATCAGGCAGGCCCAACACAGACACCACTGCTTCCCCAGCACTGCTGACCGTAGAGATGTATCGGACCATCTCTGTATGTTCTCATCAGACTTTGTTTGGCTGAAACTGCACTCCTTACCGCTTGCATGTTTACTAATTTGTTATTAAAGACCTTATATTTGCCTTTGTTCTCTCACCACTAACACACTGGCCTCTAAATGCATGAGTTTTGTATAAACTAGTATGTGATTTAGCGACTCATGACTATACCAATGGTCATGTACTTTAAGATCTTAACTGGAAGTGTTATACTTAGAAACATTTTGATAGTAAGTGGCCAAAAATAAGAGAATATTAATATGCTGCACACTTAATTTACCATTATGAACTCAGAATAATTTTATTTTCTTCTATATTAGCTTTCTCTCTATTCTAGAGGATGCTTCATTGTTGGCTTTCTAGTTGAAAAGCATGATTTTATATAGTAACATTTAAATAATCCATTGCATTCGTGGATTGAGGAAGCTAAAATCCCAGCAGTATAGTTTTGGGAGTGAGAGCTCTTTTCCTAGTAGTTAATGCCTTGCAGTAGGAGCTTTATGAATGCAGAAGTCAGAGGGTTTGTTGTAAAGCCGCTTTTCAGATATTTGACAAGGATACTTGGCAACTCTGTGATATTTGTTTCATATGTTCTCAACATCCCAGGACCCTATCTCCTGCCAAGTCCCCTTCCTCATCAACTGGATCTATTGCCTCCAGCAGAAAATACCCTTACCCAATGCCCCCACTTCCTGATGAAGAGAAGAAAGTGAACCGACAAAGTGCCAGGGTATGTGGCAGTGTCTCCGTACATTTACATACTCCGTCATTCCCACTTGATCTGTGAGCAGCCGTGTTTCTTTCTTTGTAAGAAAATCAGAAAAATTAAAATTAGAAGATTGGGCTTTCAAGAACAGATTTGTAATTACAAATTAGTTTAATATGCATTGGTATGTCTAGTGATATTTTTGTGTATATTATTTGTTACTATATACAGTACTTACATCTTTTATTACTCATTGTAGTTAATGTGTTAAAACCTGGAATTGACAAAACAAGTTTTTTAAGTTTCAGCTTTTTAATATCCCAGGAAATGCCAGAGACTAAATACATTAGCCTCATCTCTGTGTGCAGTTTACTTGTATGGGCTTAGGATTTAGAAATAGGAATCTGACAAAACAAACAAACAAAAAAAACCAGAACAGTGTTTTGGAAATGGGGGTTAACTCTTTTGTTCAGTGCTGGGAATTGAACCCAAGGCCTTGTGTCTGCTACTTCTTTATCACTGAGCTATACTGCAGCACCAAAAAAATTTAAAAACAAAAATGGAGGTATTGACTCTTTTTATAAAGTTATTATTCAGCTGAGATTTATTTAAATACTAAGTATATAGCTGGGTATGGTGGCACATGACTACAATCCCAGCATTCTGAGAGGCAAGTCTGAACCCACCCTGGGCAACCTACTAACTTAGTGAGATCCTGTCTCCGAATGAAAAAAAGCCTGGAGATGTAGCTTAGTGTGAAGGCCCTGGTTTCAATATCCATCACTGTAAGAATGAAGAAAGAATATTGTCTCCTTGGAAGTTTTAATCATGATTCCATTGTCTCATAAGATTCGTGGAGCAAATTCATTATGTGAAACTTGAGGTATAATGGAGTTTAGAGAGGCAAATGAACCCTCAGAGATTTAAGTGAAAGATATAATTACTTTGGATCCGCAGACTCTATTGTGGTTAGTTACCCAATGTTGATCTTCTTAGAAATAATGTTGGGAAAAAAAGTTTGAAAAAGCTTGAGAGAATAAATCCATGAAGAAGTGTTCAACATTGCTGGCCATTAGAGAAATGAAACAGAAACTATTTTGAGATACCATCTTAGCCCCGAAAGAATGCCTTCATCGAGAAATGTAATAATAACAGATGCTGGTAAGAATGTGGAAAAAAAATAACTTCCACAGCGATGGTGGGAATGAAACTAGTATAACTGCTGTGCAAATCAGTGTACATTGGAGATTCCTCAAAAAAAACAAAAGATAAAGAAAAAAAGAAATTCTATTTGACTCAACCCCCTTTTAAGTATCTTCCCAAAAGAGTTAAAAATTATCATGCTACAGGGATACATGCATACCCATGTTTATAGCAGCACAATTTATTACAGTTAAATCTTGGAGGCAGCATATATGTCCATCAGCAGATGAGTGGCTAAAGAAAATGTGATATTTAGACACAGTGGAGAACTACTGTGTCAAAGGTAGACAGGCCAGGCATGGTGGTGCACACCTCCTTTCCCAGCACTCCAGAGGGAGAAGTGGGAGGGAGGATCACTGTGCGTTTGAAGTCAGCCTGGGTTACCTAGTGAGTTCAAGGCCAGCCTGAACTAATACACCCTGTCTCAAAAAAAAGAAAGATTTTACAGAGGTAAATGGATGCAGTTTGAGAACGTAATGTTAAGTCAAATGTCAGACACACAAGCTTAAATATCACATGGTTTCTCTTATGTGAGAAACTCAAATATATGTAGTTCATATAATTCCCCAAATTACATATTCTGTTGTTTCAAAATATTTTAATATATATGCCAATTTGTTTCATTCATACTATTAGCTTCTCTTAGTTCATTAAAAAGGAAGTTTTATGCTATTATACATTTTTTCATTGTAAAATAATCTTTTTCTGTGTCTTGGACTCTGAGTAACTATTTTGAAGATAATGATACACACTATTAACTATTGTTATTATCTTCTTTTCTTATATGTTTTATTTTTTCATAAAATATAAAAAATAAAACTTGACAGATTTATCCACTAGTGGGTCCTAGATTCCTAAACTTTTTGGTCTTGTTGGATGGTTTAGAGCCTCTTTGATTGTAAACCTAAATTAGGGGACCAAGGTAATTGTGGGTCATTCAGATCTTATCTCAGATCTTATCAACCCCAAGTCATTGCTGGGCGTGGTGATGTTCACCTGTAATCCCAGCACTTCGGAGGCAGAGGCAGGAGGATTGCTGTGAGTTTGAAGCCGGTCCAAGCTACATAGTTCAAGACCAGCCTGAAGTACATAGTGAGACCCTATCTCAAAAAACTGCCCCCCCAAAGGAACCATAAAAGATGGTTAGATCATTCAAACAGCATTAAAAGGTGATTAGGACACTTTAATTAAAAAATCTTTTAAAAAGCATCAGTATTTTGTTAAAGTTACCTCTGTATGTTAATATTGTAAGTGGTAGAAAATAAGATAACTCAGATTCCCATCACCGAGCTTGCTGGCCCTAAAAAAGATATGTTGACAGACATCTTTTCAGGATGTGATATGTGACAGTGAAATCTAAGTTTGCTGTCATTTTTCCCCTCCTCAGAGAACTGGCTAAGTATAGGGCCTCACTTTTTCCTGCTGCACTGTCTAGATCACTGTTTCGCTCCATCAACTAGGGACATTTCCCTAACTGTTGTCATGCCAGGGTGCGGATTGCTGGAAATGTTACCATCTGAGAGCCCATAGAAGTAACAGCTCCCCAGAAGAAACAGCTGGTCTGTGCTGCTTCTTGAGGGTGGCCTTAAAGACTCCAGTTTGCAGGAGAGTAATGTGGAAGGTCTGATTTGTCCTGTCCACTGTGGGACGGCCATAGAAGCATGGGGCAGAATTCTGCAGAAAAGGTGGTCCCTGACTCCATGCTGCCTTTCTGGGCTGTGAATAAACAGATCTGCTCATCAGTGGCCCCTCTGTTTCCATTTTCTCATGGGAATCCTCAGGTTTTCTCAGTGTTGTTCATTTATTCCTCTTTTTCTGCAAGCTGCCACTTAATATTCATAACCATATGGAAAGAAACTGCAGCCCTCTGAGGCAGTCTTGTTTCTTTACCACTCCAGACATCATTTGATCATCAGTCCAAATCTTTCCTTAGACACTCTGCAGCCCTCTGCTTAATTCCTCTCCACTGGGAGGCATCACAAGGACCCTCCCCGTTGAGAGATCTCTTTGGCTTCCAAAGGACGGGATGGGTGTCTTTTTAATGAAGAAGACATATCAAACCATCCTGAGGTAGAGAGCAGTGGCGGCTCTATGCAGTCCTGTGGAGGCTGTCAGTGTGGGTGCTCAGAAGATTTCTATGAAGATTTGAGAGACTATGTCAAGGCCACCTAAATAGGAACATTTACTTAGTCTGCTCAATCACTTTCTTGCCTTTTCTTTCCTAGCAACTCATTATATATAGCATGACCTGTCCCTGGATGCAGTAAAGACGGGATTTGGATGGAAGTTGGAAATACCTCAGCTACTCTGATCATAGGCTTTCTTTGTTCATGTAATAGTTATATCCAGATCTTTATGCCTGCAAATATATTTTATTAACTAGACTTTAAACAAGTTTTTGATCTTCCTTTTCTAATGAACTGAGTTACGTACATGCCAAAGTTGTTTGCCACCCAAAGCAGTTTCTAAATATTGTACAGATCTGATCAAGATCAGTACAAGAAAGCAAGCAGAGGGATGAGCTAAAGGAATTAAGGAAGAGACTTCCTGCCCTGCTTGCATCTTCTATTCTGACATGTCAGCCTTCAAGAAAGCGGTTTTCTGATAGGTAGTGATGGAAATGGAGTGTGTAGCCTGTGCATGGGCCAGAGAAGTGATTTTTCAGCAGAAGATGGTCGTATTGATGAAACTACACTGCCTAGAGGTCAGGAGTTCTTAGCCTTGGCTGCACGTGGGAATTTGAACAGCTTTGAACATATTGTAAGTGTGTGTTTGACCCAGAGAAATTTTGATTTAGTAGATTTTTTTCAAACGTCCCTCCATCGAGGGTGCATACCGCTGCAGTTGAGAACCACTGCTCTAGCTGGCTGTATCAGAATCCTGGGGGAAAGAAGGGGCATGTGTGTAGCTGAAGAAGTATTTTTTATTTTACTTTGAGGTGAGGTCTCACTACATTGCTAGGCAGGCCTGGAATGAACTTGTGATCGTCTCACCTCTATGCCACCACAGCAGGCTCCAAACATTAAAAAATGTTCATGTCTCATGTGAATATTTACTTTATTCAGTGTTAAGGAACATTAAACGAGGATGTGAAGTTACTTTTTAAACAAATGGTGGAAGTTGTTAAAATGTTGAGATGCAGGTTTAGAAGAAAGAGCTAAAAGGTAGACCGTGCAAGAGCGGGAACGGATGGGATTGCGGAACCTCCCTCTCCCAGCTCAGAGCACTTGTTCGCTTTTCTGCTTTTACAATGTGAAATTCTGCTTCTCTCTGTTGTGCAGCTATGGGAAACATCCATTTAAGATCCACTGTTTACATGTGACACATCGACACTGTTTACTTCAACTTTTATAGAAACCCAGCCTTGTGGAATCACTACAAATCTTTCCGCTCTTCAGACGGTACAAAGACCCTCCGAGACGCGGTAGAGAAGAGGGAGCCAGTTCTCACACCTGGATATCATTTTCTTTTCGTCATTGGTTTAGGCTTTAATGGAACCACGAAATGAACTACTGCAATGTTACACTCTTAACATGGAATTGGTACTGGTGTGTTCGTGGATAATCCGCATGACAGATATATGTAGAAATATCAATAAAATTAACTCACACGACCCAAATGTAGCAAGTTTCCTAAGGGACAGTAGTGGGTCCAGAACTGGATCTTCTGAAGCACATCCTCATTGTAAACAGTAATGCATGAAGCTGCTACTCATTGTTTTCCATAATTAAGGAAACGACATCCCATAATAGATACTAGCATGCAGGGCTAAAGCAGATAGGATTTTTCTGCAGAACTTAAAGCCTCGAGAAGCCAATATCCCATATGCTAACTTTAAACATGTATTTTTATTTTTGTTTTGTTTTTACTTTACATATTTATATCAGCATACAAGGATCATTGTACATATGTAAACATTTTTAAAATTCAGAAAAGCAGCTTTTACACATAAGTGTATTTTGCCAAATGCCTAAAAACAGTCGTCACAGTCGCATCATTGTCCTCTGTCCTGTGGTCTTCATCGTGTCCAAGCAGATGATGTAAATGTAGCGGTCAGTGCTATAGTATGTCTCTCTTTAACTGGTATCTGTCCAAAAGGGGGTATCTCCTAAGCTGCATGTAACAGGAGGCAGTTTTATGCAGTGACTGAGGAAGAGAGCACAGTGCCCAGTGAAACGCCAGCCACCATAGCTTGCTGAAGCAAAAGGCCAGTGGTGCAGATGCTTTGGGACACTCTGGCCAGCTGGCTGCTCCCTGCGGATCAGCCTGTTCCCTTCTCTTCTGGGACTCACAGTGTCTGCCTCAATGGCTGTCTCTCTCAGTACCACATCACATCTGCTAGTCTCTTCTGAAGGCCGGTGAGCCCCCAGCAGTGTGTGCTGCTGAGATTAGGCAAATGTACCAAAGACACTTGAGACCTGGTAGTGTCCCGTCTTGCCCATATGTCAGCCCTTTCTGGTCTGAAGTTCTGGCTCCTCGACAAGCTTTCGGCCACTCTTTTCTATGAAAGGAGTGACTTATTGTAACAGCAACATCTTTCCATGGTTCCTCACTGGGACTGAGGCCCGGCAGATCATCCTGCATTGACTTTGAAGCAAGATGATGGACATTTCCACTGTCTGAGCTTGGAAGCCTCAGTGCGAGGCATAAAGGGTTAAATAAAATTGAAAACCATACCGATGCAGCCGCTGTGAAGTTACACAAACAGCCGGCAGGGGCAGGAATCCGATGGGTTGAGCCCTATAATTTTTAATCTTTAGAACAGTGAAAATTTATGTGTAAAGCCCCCTTTTTAAAACCGAAGTTTGATGCGGATGTATGCATCAAACTTATTTCAAAAGAAAGCTTCTCTGACAAGATCAGAAATCGATGAAACCAGTCACATGTTCTGATTGCTTTTTTTTTTTCTTGAGAGGAATGGAATCAGTAGATGAGATTTCAGAAAAGTCCTCCAGATTTCATTTCTTCCAGTAATTTTCACAGACAAAATCCATCTCATCTCCATGTATAATTGTCGTGGGTGCCCAAACTGAAGAGCCAAGTTAGACGCTATATTCACTCCGTTCGTGTCTTCTGCAACAGGCCTCTCTTCTGAAAGGCTTTGAAAGCATTTGAAAAGTAATTTAATTATCCAAAAGTGTACAGTGGAAAACAGCATTTTTCACGATAGGAAGGGATACTATTGGTGAAGTCCCCGTAAATCCACGTACTCGACCCAGGGCTGGGTGAATGTTGGGTAGTGTTGTTAGGTACCTCTGGCCACGGACAGACAGGCACAGAGATGGGAAGACATAGCAAATAAAGTGACTTTTGACCATGATCACTTTAAAAGTGCACTGAATGTTTTCTGGTTTTGAGTGTATAGAAGGCTATTATAAGATTTATTTTGACTATAAAAGAGTTTATAGATTTGAATGTGTAAGGTGCCTCATGTAAATACGCTTCCTAGTTACACAAGCCCTAGTTTGAAGGAATCCACAAATGTCTAGTCAACTGATTATCTGTCTGTTTACCTGTTTATCTTTTCTTACCCTCTCAGTTATTTTTACCTGAAATTAATATGTCAAATGAAAAATCATTATAACGTGCCTTTTAGGAGATAGGGTTGTTCGAGAAGTATATTGTTATCCTACTCCTTGGTAACAATCTTCACATGGAACTAAATGAAATGTTATTTTGATTTGCAGAGATTATGATTTTATAAATACAGTAGCTTTAATGTTCAATTCTGAGCATCTACTCTGTCTCCCATGTTTAAATATTCTTAGAATCGTTTGTGGAATTCTTTGACAGATTTTAGTTTTGATGGGTACTTTCAAGAAATACCTATACGTGTGCCCATGATGGGTGATCTAGGGCATTACACCGAAACATTCTGACATGTCTTTCACTCACTGAGCTAGATAGGATGGATGCACAGCATGAAATATAAGCACAGCAATTACTTCTTTTAAAATATTTATTTTGGAGAGAGTTTTTGAGGTTATGGAGCAGTTTGTATCATGCTACTCATACCGATATTCCCCTGTCTACCGTGGGAGCACTGCTAAGCAGAGGCTTAGCTTTGTGGTCCAGTGAATGCCTCTTCCCCTCTTTCTGCGGTTCTGTGCACAGACGGGAGTTCAGAGAGACAGCAGCTGTCCAGTTTCTACAGCCCCTCGTGTAAAGGAAGTGTAAATCTCTCTCTGCTGAGTGCCAACAGGAAGGTGTGAGATGACAGGAAGCCCTTACAGAATGGACTGACCACACTGAGTGTTCTCCCTGTGGAGCCGCTTTCTTCAGAAGGGAAGGGAAACCCTCCTCTAGAGTCAGCGGACTAGAAGCTGATCTGCAGTCACTTGGGGTCAGTGGGAAGGAGTCAGTCGGTACTTCTCAGACAGCTGCAGCGCAGGGAGAGATGACTGGCTGGAGTTGGTAGGTTTTTAAGGAAACACAGCGCCTGAATTAGGGGTAACTTTCCTTGTCAAAAAAACTGACTAGCACAGCAAATGTGGGGTTAAAATGACAGTACAGTTTCTCTTTTTCCTTCTTTATTTAAAGGGCTTTTATGATTGTGTTTTTATATAAGTTGAGTCCAGCACCGAATTTCTTGAGATTAAAAACACAGGGTGTCTAAAAAAAGCTGCTTTGAAGATAAAATTAGATTTTCTGTTCTCTTCCAGAGACTGTTTGAATTCCATAATCAACTTACATTTTTCATTTTGCTCTGCTACCTTTTTTCAGTTTTTTCCTTGTACAGTTACCTTTCAGTCAGAAGAAATATAGTACTTTTATTCACTTTTTTCAGTGTTTCAAAATTGAGTTTATTCATTTCCTGTTGTCACGTTTTAACCCTACACACACACACACACACACACACACACACACACCTAGTGCTTTAAATATTTCCTTATGTTGTTAACCATGGACATAAGCCCTTATCTGACGTGAGGCTGTTTTGCTTTAAAGGGAAGGAAGGCCACTGAGCACCGAGCTGCTTGCAGTATGGCGGAGGGTGGAGCCAGGTTTGGCACTGTGAGGCTGCAGAGGCAGGACAGCTGCCTGCACGGTGCGGTAGACACTGGACGCCCTGTGGAACACACTGTAAACATCCCCACAGCTTCTAAGGCAGTAGTTTTCGTGAAATGCCCAAACTCCCATTTGCGACTATTTCCTAATTTTTATGCTCCAATTATTTTCCCTCCAGTTGATGTCTTCCTCTAGAATTGCCACCTGAGTTCTTTTCTACACCTCTAAGAGCGTAACATTGACACGAATTTCTTGTTCTCGCTTAACATTTCTGGGGAGCAGGGCCTAATTCCAGACTTGTATTTATTCTCCTCCAGAGATCTTTTCTGAATGGGCAAGACTTTGACTTTTTATGTAGCAACTTCTTTCCTGGCACTGAGTAACTGAGGACTTTCATACACAGCTCTCCCTGAGGCACCCAGTCCACAACTGTGCTGCTGTCCGGGCTGTGTGAGTGGCCACAGCTTGTGCTGTGGGGCAGGTGCTTTTGATTCCGGGAGGAGCTGTTCTACCACACAGTGAGGCTTTACACAACACAGGGTCGCGTTCATATTCATACCGTGTTTGCTGTTCTGTCACAGTCCACAGGAAAACAAACACTCAAAAACAAAAACCTGCCTAGTGGACTTCTGCCCTTTTATATCCATGATCTGACAAACGGTAAGCACCTCACGACTGGATTAAAGGACAGTTCTAGAGACCCCTTTCTTCTAAAGTATCCCTGTCTTCAGTAGCTGTGTAGCAGTTTCTTCATGGTTAGGAGCTTTTATCTGTCATGGAAAGTAGCGCCTTCGCTGCAGAAATGTGAAGAACACTAGGGCTGCAAAGCTAAGGGTGGGAGGCATCTTCAGTCCACTCTCGTGGCACTGGCATGGATTATGAACCTTGGTAAGTCACCGAGAGATCTTTTCCAGGGTGGGAAAGGCAGGGTAGGGAAGAGATAAAAAGCAGCAAGCTTTAGCCCTGGTATAAAGGCAGAGTGGACATCCACATGCAGAACCCAAAAGCCAAGCATGTAGGAGAGCTCAGATGGTCACTGGGCAGGTGGAGAGAAAGCGGTACAGGTCCCTAAGGCAGATCTATGTGCTTGGCATGTTCACCATATGTTGGCTTTGCAAGTAATTCCGGGTGCAGTCGCCTGTCCTTGTTGCTCTGTTCACAGAACCTGTGTCATACTGGAGTTGCTTCAAGGGTGGCAGAGCTTTGGTCAAGGGCTCCATAATTTCATGTTCCTAAGAATCCTTGGAATTGAAAGTAGGCGAATTGTCTTGTTTGGTTTCATTTACAAAAAGGCATACAATGAGACTAAGCAATCTTGCTAAAATAGTGTGCACAAAAACATCCAGTTTCAGAGTTTATATAAAAAAATATATATATACACACACACACAGATCTACGTTTGCTTTGCCTTTTATAAATTTCAGGCTGTGATTTTTGTTTTGATAATTAAGCTCTAAAATAATGCAAATAGCCCCAAATCTGTAAATACAGTGGTGCTGTTAGATAACACAATACAGAAAGCACTGATACAAATGAATACACTCAATAGTAATGAGTTCCTGCTGAACTGTACATGTTTATCACTGCCTGATTAGAAACCCTGCTCTTCTTTTTCTAATCCAGCACAAAATCAAAGTGATTCTACAACCAGTCTTTTTAATGGGTAAAAAGGACCGGACACCTTTGTTTTGTATGGAAGACTTTTTAAAACACTAATTACCAAAGTGCTTAACAAAATTTTCATTCACAATAAGCATGTACTTTTTTTTTTTTTTTTTTTTTTTTTTTTTT